AACCACAAAGCTCACAAGCTGTTGAGTTGAGTCGAGTAAAATATTATGCTATTTAAGTTTAGTTTGAAAGCTTAATAAATTTTAAAATGCGTTTAAATTTGATTTGTTTACCTATCGAACTAAGCTTAGATAATTTAATTTTTTATACTACATATAAAAGCAAAGGAACTTCTTTTCCTCCACAAACCCTCTTCAAATTTTAAATCCAAACACAACCATAATAGGTTAAAAAAATAATAATAATAATAATAATAATTGAGAAAAGAATGTGGGCTTGAAATTAGGATTTCAGATTTATTCAACAAAAAAATGGATTTCATATTTTAATTGGGCCAAGTCTAAGGTCCATATATTAATGGAATACAATCAGTTTAAAATGATTATACCTTGGCCCATGAATCAATGATCCAAAAGAAAGAGTTCCAAAATAAGAAAGAAAATGAAAAAATTACTCATAAATCCCATATTAGGAAATGTTGCTCTACCTAGTCCTGAGTATTTTTTTGTAAACCATTTAGTCCTTTTTATATTTGGTATGGTATGTTTATTTGTTATATTGTATAAACATCAAGCAATTTCAATCCAACAACATCAACAACATCAACATCATCACTAATAGCATGATCTAGAAAACATTGATTTGGCAATTAAATCTACAACATCAAACATCAATAAATCCCAAATTGATTAGTGAGAAATTGAGAGAGAGAAAGAGAGAGCTCGCACTGATTCAGTGGAGAAGGATCGTTCAATATAAGGTTTCAGGGATTCGCCAGAGATCGATCTCCGAAGAGCACGAGAAACGCACCGCCACATCTGATTCTATGGAGAAGGATCGTTCAATGTAGGGTTTCAGGGATTCGCCGAAGATCGATCTTCGAAGACCACGAGAAACGCACCGCCACATCTCTCTCTCTCTTCCTCCCTCTCTCTGTGTATCTAAGAGTATGGTGCTGCGAATTGTTTTCTCGGAGATCACAGTAGGAAAAGAGAGCGAGTTGATGATGTTGCTGAGTATGGTGCTGTGTATCTAAGAGTATGTTGATGATGTTTGATGTTGTAATTCATGTTTGATGATGTTGCTGATGTTTGATGAGGTTGAAAATATAGTTGTTTGATGATGTTCACAATGTTGGTGATGTTGATGATGTATGATGATGTAGTTGATGATGTATGATGATGTTGGTGATGATGTTTGATGATGTACGATGATGTTTGATGATGTAGTTGAAGTTTGACGTTGTTGATGATGTTTTATGATGTTTTGATGATGTAGTTAATGTTTGATGATGTTGATGATGTTGTTGGTATAGTTAATATTGTTGATGTTTGGAAAGGAGAGAAATCTAAAAAAGGCCTATAGTGGGCTTTTAACATTCAAATAGGACTTATTAGTCTACAAAATAAAAGGAATGATCAAATGGTTTAACAAATTAAAATTTGGGATTTATTGGTGTTTTGTCCAAAGAAAATTGAAAAGAGAATAAAAAAAAAATGAGAAAATTGCATTTTAATGACGCAGTGAAATATATTTTTATTTTTATGATGGTGTAAGTTTTCTGTGTGCATAGTAAAAAAAAAAATTATGTGCATGGTATAAGTCTATCATGTGTGTTAGGGTTACCCCACAATTTTTTTTATATTTATAATGTAATTATTTTTTTTTTGCCGTTCCATTGATTTGCTATTCCCCATAAAAAATTGAAAGAGAAAATAAAATGAGAACCAAAAGAAGAAAGAAAATAGAAAGGATAAAGGAAAACCTGAACAAACATAATTGAAAATAGCACAGGTAGGAAGCCAAAAAATCAGTGGCTCGAATGGTTTGAAACTGTCAAAATGAAGTCGTTTTGCTGCCAAAACGACGCAAAACGATATCGTTTTGACAGTTTCGAGCCATTTAAGCCACACATTTTGTGGCCCTCAAACATTATTCAATTGAAAATGATGTTGGATTGGGTTGTGGTGTTTTAAGTCATCAAATATTAAAGACAACAACAAAAGAGGAACCAAACAAACACAATTTGAAAAACACAAAAAAAACAACAAAATATATATATATATATATATATATATTAAGTATTCCAAATATTTTATTAAAATTTCTATTAATTTTTTTATATGGGTGTGGGATTTATTAAAATTTCTATTGATTTTTTTATATGGGGGTGGGACTATACCATGTGGGTTTCATGTGGGTCTCACATCCATATCAAATATTAAAATTTTAATATTTCCTCTGTCCCAAAATATTATTCATTTATTTTATTTTTTATTGTCCTAAAATATTAACTCATTTTCAAAAACTAAGGAACAAAATAATATGAAGAAATCGAAGAATTTCTTGGGAATCCTACAAGATCCATTCGTTCTTTTTTCTCTGACAGATGGTCAGAACTTCATCTGGGTTCGAATCCTACTGAAAGGTCCACTAGAGATCAGAAATTGTTGAAGAAACAACAAGATCTTTCTTTTGACCCTTCCAGGCGACCGGAAAATAAAGAAATGGTTAATATATTCAAGATAATTACGTATTTACAAAATACCGTCTCAATTCATCCTATTTCATCAGATCCGGGATGTGATATGGTTCCGAAGGATGAACCGTATATGGACAGTTCCAATAAGATTTCATTCTTGAACAAAAATCCATTTTTTGATTTATTTCATCTATTCCATGACCGGAACAGGGGAATTTACTATTTTACTCTTCTTTTAAATTCATTAATAATACAAAAAATATAATTATAACAATTGATACTTTCAAAAAAAATATACTATCAAAAGATAATTTTAAAAAATTAATATTTTTAAAATATAATAATTATACTATAAAAAAATTAAATTTTTCAAAAGAGATTATTATTTTAAAACGAAAGAAGTAAAACATTATGTTTGGTTTGAGTTTGGGAGATGAGTTTTAGAGATAAAAAGTACGAAAAGTTGTTTGGTTTGGTTTTTTTCAAAAGATGTTTTAGAAAATTATTTTGAGAGAGAGTTTTGAAAAAAATGATTGATTTGATGTGTATGAAAGAGAGATTTGTTTGGAAAACTTGTAAACCAAACAAGTTTTAGGAAATTTTTTTGAAAAAATTTGTTTGATTTGATTACTTTTGAACACTTATTTGTAGAGAATTTTTCTCAAAATTTTTTGAGAAATACAAACCAAACGGGGTCTTAAGATTCCTAACATTATTATTTTTTTTAAAAAAAATCTCAAAATCTCAAAAAGTGGTTTTTAATTAGTTGCCTCCCTCTCTCCTCTCTTACACAGTCTGTGTGCGTGCGTGCGTTAGAATGGACCGGTCCGTTCATTGACTTCACTCGAAACAGAATATTGTATAAGATTTGTGGCCCTATTATAAATAGTGGGGTCCAATGTTTGTTTTTTGGGGTATTGGAGCATCATACAAATCTCTTCAAATTCTAGTTAAATTAGAGGTTAAAAAGTTATTTTGTTATTTTAATTAATTATTTTCTTAATACTCATTACATCAAATTTTATATTTTAACTTAATCTTATTAAAATATTATTTTTTTATTATATTTGTTATTCTTTTTTTTTTTATTAAATTGATAAGGTGCTATCCAAACAATTCTTAAAAAATGCAAAAAAAAAAAAAATTTGTTATTGACCGGTCCACCTACCGGTCGACCGGTTAGGCTAATTTTCGGCATTTTTGGCTCAATTTTCCTGTAGAAAATATAATAAAAAATCATATAACGAATGAACAGTGCCTCAACAAAGTTGTTGATTAGGATTATTAATCCAATGGATAATTAATCCAACAAATTTGTAGGATTATTAGTAATGGGGTAGGGGTGGGATAACTAATACCACACTAATTTAATAGGATTATTAATACCTCACTATTAGTGTTGTGAATCAAACATGGCCTTAGGCCATGTTTGTTTGGGTGGACATGAGTTTAGGATTGGATTAATAGTCCAATAAAATTATTAATCCGATATTTGGTTAAACAATTGAAGTATGAACTAATTATTTTAAACTTGACTTTTAGTTAAGATAGGATACATAATCTAACAGATTCGTAATCCTAGGGCCCCGTTTGTTTTGGGAGATAGAATGGAGGAGATTGATAATGAGGGTATTAATAGTGAGGGGATTGTTAGTGAGGGGATTGATAGTGAAGGGATTAATAGTGAGGGGATTGATAGTGAGGGGATTAATAATGAGGAAAGAGTCTAGACGGTGCAGTCAGTCTCATAATATATACAAAAACATTTGTGAAGAAGGTTTTGGGTTAAAATAATTAAAATAATTAATAATATAAAATATTATATTTAAATTATAATTATTTTTTTTTCACAATCTTCAAATAAACTTTTAAAAAAATCAACTATTTTTTTAAATATATATATTTTAATAAGACTAAAATAATTAAAAGATAACTAAAGTCTCGTTTGACAATTAGATATTTTGCTTAAAAAAGTCAAAAATTACTATAAATCCTCATATCACTTTCTTTATTTTTTAACATATTTAAAAAAAAATTTAAAAAATTACTAAAATAAATTACTCCCAAACGAGCCCTGAAATGACGAACCTCTCCAACGAGCTCTATGTATGTACAGGGCGAAGCCGTTTTGGGGAGTAGGGGCAGGCGGCCCAGCACCCTCCCCCGTTCGGGCAGCTGTCGAGCATTGCTCACACCAGAAAAGATAGATACAGATAGATATACTACACTCAACTTACTTAACACACAGCTGAGTAGAGAGAGAGACACACACACACAGAGTTGTAGATAGAGAAAGAAAAGAAAAAAAAAAGGGTGAACAGAGTTGAACAGGTTTCTTGCAGAGTGATTAAAGGTGAAGCAAAGGGGAGAGAGAGAGAGAGTTAGAATATAAATATTAAGGCATTTTCTTTTTTCTTTTTATTTTTTTAAATTACCTTATTTGGTGGTCTGTGATGAGATCGGCTATTGATTCTGGTCACACAGCTGAGTAGAGAGAGAGAGAGACACACACAGAGTTGTAGATAGAGAAAGAAAAAAAAAAAGGGTGAACAGAGTTGAACAGGTTTCTTGCAGAGTGATTAAAGGTGAAGCAAAGGGGAGAGAGAGAGAGAGTCAGAATATAAATATTAAGGCATTTTCTTTTTTCTTTTTATTTTTTTAAATTACCTTATTTGGTGGTCTGTGATGAGATCGGCTATTGATTCTGGTTCTGTCGTTTTTGTTAGGCAATAATAGTGAATATTTGGGCAATTGAGAGCTAGGGTTTTCTGGGCATTTTGGGGTTTGACTGAAAAAAAAAATATATATATATATATATATAGATGTATGTATCTGTGTGTAACTAGTTATTTGTATTTAGGTATATAAGATAGTGATGGAGAGAGAGATGGTGTTGAAATCAAGTTTTCTGTGGTTGATCATACTGGTTCATCCTCTGAGCTTCATTTGTGCAAATATGGAAGGTGTGCAGATGTTTACACTTTTTTTATAAAAAAAAATAAAAATTATTTATGCAAATGGTAATCTTGATTATCTTGTTTGCGAAAAATGGGCATTTTCAGTTTGGAATACAGATGCATGTAAGAGAATGATATATGTAATTAAGTTTGTTTTCTTTGGCATTGATTAATGTCTGTTCTTGAACTATTAGAAAATGGTAAATTCAATGATTTTGGGGTTGTTGATCTTTGTTTAGTGCAATAGATTCTTGAATGTTGAATGAGAAATGCTATATATTTTTGCACCCTTTTGTATCACCCCCTTATATTAATATTCAACCATTGTTCCGTGTTTAGAAATAATTTTTTAAGGAAATCAAATTATGTACCTGTGATATTAAACAGTTAAACTAAAAGAAAGGGTGAGAGCAGCCCCCTTCTTGAATTTATATATCTGTCCCTATAGAAACTCTTTATTATACAATTTAATTTATGTTCTTAGTTTGGGTCCAATATGCACAAAATGGATGATATTTAGATTTGTATTCATTTGTCATTTTTGTTTGTCATTTCATAAAAATAAAAAACTATGAAAAGTAAATAAAAAATTGAAAGTTTGAAAATAGCCATTGGTTCTCAAATCGTTTTGTTTTTTTGTGCGAAAATAGTTTTTCAAAATTCAAAAGCAATTTTTTGGTGTTTTTGAAATTTTTTTCCAAAATTAGTTTTCTGAAACAATTCGGCAAACAGGTTTTTTTTTTTTTTTTTTTTCAAAAAATGAAAATAAAAAACGAAAACACAACCAAACAGTCCTGAAGTTCTTCACACATTTTGAAACATGTTATAATTGGTCACTAATTAAGTTCGTTTAGTTTTTCTCCACAAATAAACTTGGGATATGCCTTCTTTCTGAAAAGCACTAGATTAAACTGATTCCAGTATTATGCTATACCAAGACTCCAGTTTCATATCTTTATTCAGTTTGAGTATGTCTGATCTTCCTAGTTGGAATTTTTGTTGTAACATGTCTTTACTATTGTTATAAGTGGCATTTGATTGCTTTTGCTTGTATCTGTAAACAGGTGATGCTTTGCATAGCTTGAGAACCAACTTAATAGATCCTAACAATGTGCTACAGAGTTGGGATCCAACACTTGTTAACCCATGCACGTGGTTTCATGTTACATGTAACAATGATAATAGTGTTATAAGAGTGTAAGCAACCTACCATATTCAGTACATGCTTAAGTTTAACTTTCTAAAATGAGACATTAGTTTCTATGATGTCTCCTTTGTGCCTATCTTTTTCCAGTGATCTTGGCAATGCGGCTTTATCTGGTCAGTTGGTCCCGCAGCTTGGCATGTTGAAGAATTTACAGTACTTGTAAGTTGTGTTTTCATGTTATGGAATTTGTTTTTCTGTTTGCGTTTGTTCTTGTACAATTGTTACATTCAGATTTTTCTATTTTAAACTATGTAACCTTATCAAGTATTCACTTATCCCAAAATAATAGGTATCAGCTGGCTGCTGTTTTTTTTCTTCACTCTTATATGTACATTCGGAGTTGGACTTGGTTGACATTTATGTTTAATTATTTTTTACATACTAGGCAGAGTTGGAATTATCTACATTGTAGACATTTTTTTTGTCAGTGTTATTTGGTTTACCATCTGGTGACCAAAGATCATAGTTATTAACTTTTGGGAATTGGGAAGGGCAGGCACTGCAAACGTAGGTAATATGATAAGGAAAAAGACTTCTCTAACAGCAGGGTAGCCTTCATTAGTACATATCATGATAAACATAATGTGGAAACGGTTTTCGGTATTTAAACTAAAGAAAGGATCTGTCGAAACAAAAGAGCATGGTTTGATCTTTGACATGATGCTTGAAGATCAGCTATAATGTGGGTTATTGAATTTTGAGGTATTTGGCCATAAAATTAAATTATAACTGAATAACACTAATACATTGTTGGTACACTCCTGAAAATATCCTTTCTTTCAACATGACAATTTTTTAAAAGAGGTGCCTGTGCTTTTCTATAAAGTCATGTTTTCCTTGTGGGAGTTCTAGTTCGTTGTTATGAAATCCAAAGAGAACAGGAATTACGGAAAAGAAAACGCTGAGTTTTTGATGTATTTGAAAATGCAACTTTGGTTGATTATCTCATAGTGTTTCTACTCCACGTCTGGGATAATTTGAAATGTTGGTAATATTATCTCATAGTTATTTAGAAAAAAGTCAGTTGTTTGCTTTCAAGAACGAGTTAGTTCAAGGATGATGATCAGAGTAATGGAAAAAGGACAATCTTGGTTCACTTCCAGGTGATATTATAATAATTTTTTTTGGTAAAAGAAAAAAATTTATGGAGAGAGAGAGAGAGAGAGTTTAGGGTTTAATAACCAACCAAATGCTGGGTTTAGTTCTGGTTTATTCTCCTTTGAATTGGCCAGGTGGAATTTTGGACCAAAATTTGGACTACCCTTTAAGCCCTGAAGGGTGAAAGTGCTTATCTATTGGATGATTTCATGCATTTTTTTTAATGCAATATATTTGTAACTTACATATATGCTATGTGGAGACTTCTCATCTACAAGTGATTTTTATTTAATCTGTTAATGACAGGGAACTCTACAGTAACAATATAAGTGGACCCATTCCTAGTGACCTTGGGAATCTGACTAACTTGGTGAGCTTGGATCTCTACTTGAATAGTTTTACTGGTCCCATCCCAGACACTTTGGGCAGGCTGTCAAAGCTGCGCTTCCTGTGTGTATGCTTATCCTTCACTTGATTTTCATTACTGTTCGTTTTATAGTTGTATTTTTGCTTGTTCTTGTTTCTTTTTTTGCATTTAAATTTACTGGTTACACATTGATGATGGGGAAGTTGAGGTATTGATAGGGACAAGGGGCATAATGGTACTGTAATTGTGGGGTTAGGATGCATGTTGATACTCTCAAGTTCAGGTAGCAATGGTGGTAGTATGTGGTGACATGGAGTGGTCTGGATTGGGGATGGTAAAATTGTTACATGGTCTGGTAGGTTTTGGCTGCTGTCGGTGTTGTTGAAGTTGGGAAGCCTAACTTGGCTATGGGAATTGTTAAATACTTAAATGCTGGAAACCTTGGTGTTTTTTGGGAATTCGGAACAGATAGCATTGCAATTTTAATGGCGAGTGTGACTTTAGGAGGGAGGATAGAAGGATAAGTGAAAATATTCTTATAAGAAGAAATAAATAATAATAAATATCAAATAGAAAGCAAGATATAAGAACTTCATTCCCCCCCCCCCCCCCCCCCCCCCCCCCCCCAATTAGATGAAGAGGAAATACATCATGCTCTGTTGCTGGAGAGATGAAAATTGATATCTTGCTATCTCCATGTTCCAACCTCTTTTCTCTTGTTGTTTGCCTTTCAATAAAATTAACTGCAGAAGCAGCTTGTCAATGTTGACATGATCATCACCGAAACTTCAGGGACCAAACCTTTTCAGTGGTAGCAAGTTGTGATGACATTGATGCAACAACTGTTGTTGTGGTGCTAGTTGTGCAGTGGTGGGATGGTTAGTGTATGTAGCTGTGTGGTGTCCTTGGGGGTGGAAAATGCTATTTAAAGTTATAATTAGGATTCAAGGATTAGGATTGCATTGATTCGGTGGATATGGAATTTTCTCCAAATTGGTTATGCAAAGAACAAGAAGGAATTGGATTGCATTAATTCAGTGGATATTGTCATGACCATTGTTATTTAAAGGCAAAAGCATTGTTTTGCTAGTTATATACTGTTTTAATTACACCATGAATTGCTTTCACCAATTCGGTCTCCTGTCCAAAATAAAATCTCCAATTAGAATTGGACCCAGTGACTTTCCTATGTTGAACTGCATTCATTTTTATTGAAATGCTTCCTAGAAATGCACTTGAAAAAATAAGAGGTGTTTTCTCTAAATTACTGGTTTTATTTTATCTATATAATATAAGAAGCAAAGGATTATGCTAAATTTTTTCACCGACAAGTTGTTGAAGGTATTTGCGCCAAGATTGTGATGCTAATGGAAACCAGGAGAGTGAAGCGTCCATGAAGATGGAAATTTTTTAGAAAATAAATGGGATTGTTCTGTTGTTTTTAGAATGTATTAGGAGAAAGTTACCAGAATTAATGATCCGATTCCTTGTATTGACTTGTATGTTGCACCAAGATTGTGATGCTAATGGAAACCAGGAGAGTGAAGAGTCCATGAAGATGGAAATTTTTTAGAAAATAAATGGAATTGTTCTGTTGTTTTTAGAATGTATTAGGAGAAAGCTACCATAATTAATGATCCGATTCCTTGTATTGACTTGTATGTTGCCAACCCAGAGGATTGGCTTTCAGTTTGAACTGTCTTTGAAGTTGTGGAGTGTTCTTTACATGCATCCTCATCAATTCTAGCATAATTTGGCTTTTCTTGCGTGTATGCTTAAAATTTTTATTAGTACAATATCTCAACTGATCTTGAATTTTAACATGTATGCTCTTCTAATGCCATGTAAGGATAGCCGGCTTAACAACAACAGCTTGACGGGTCCCATTCCTTTGTCATTGATCAATATCACATCACTGCAAGTGTTGTAAGTACTGAGTTGGTTCATTTTTTCTCGATGTAAATATCTCTCTCTCTCTCTCTCTCTCTCTCTCTTGTGCAGAAGTGATGTTCTTTCATTGCATTGTTATGCAGAGATCTATCAAACAACCGTCTGTCAGGATCAGTTCCAGATAATGGTTCCTTTTCATTATTTACACCTATCAGGTTTCTTGCTGATTATTGACCCACATTTGTCATAACTGTTGTTTTGAAGGATAATGCTGAATAGCTGATTTTCCATTCTACAGTTTTGCTAATAACCTGGATCTCTGTGGCCCTGTTACTGGACACCCTTGCCCTGGATCTCCTCCATTTTCTCCGCCCCCTCCATTCGTCCCACTACCACCAATTTCATCTCCAGGTTATTGTCCTAGCTTATTTAACTTTCTCAAATGATATGGATGTTGGGTACGTCACAGAATGTCTTTTGCCTTCTGGTTTGATTAGTTCCATCCTGTAATTTTGTTTTAGCTTGGCTTTACATGCATGAAGTTCATCAATCAGCTATTGTTATTGCCTATTTGAATCTCTTTTGGGTGAGGAGTTGCATGTAGATATATTTGCATCAGCCAACTAATTCAGGATGTCACATTTTGAGTCCAGGGTGGGGTGAGGGCTTTAACCCCCTGTGCAGCTTCATTCTGTACCTTAAAAAAAGCAAGGACATCTGCATTTCATTTTTGTGGCAGATCCATCTTTGTTTCCTTGGTCCGTGAACTTTAATAATTTAATTTCTGTAATTGCAAATGACTGTACCAATCAATTTGAACTTGATGATGCTAGTACTGATTTGCCAGTTATGCTTCCTGTTGTATCACAGTTGCTTGAGTCATATGTTAGATTTGTTATTACATATAGTTTGGGTATTGTGAGTAAGGTTGCTATTACGTAGTGTGGTCCTTACGTAGGCAGTGGCATCTGCTCATACTTCATTGTATTTTTTTTTTTCTATTATATTTATTTTAAAAATCAGGAGGAAATAGTGCAACCGGAGCGATTGCTGGAGGGGTTGCTGCTGGTGCTGCTCTTCTGTTTGCTGCCCCTGCAATTGCATTTGCGTGGTGGCGACGCAGGAAACCACAAGAATATTTCTTTGATGTGCCTGGTTAGTGATTTAACTGAAAACTGGTTCAAACTAAACATATTATACAATTTGATTATCAATTGTTGACATTTCTTTGCAGCCGAAGAGGATCCTGAAGTTCATCTGGGGCAGCTTAAAAGGTTCTCCCTGCGAGAATTACAAGTTGCAACGGATGGTTTTAGTAATAAAAATGTTTTGGGTAGAGGAGGATTTGGTAAGGTATACAAGGGAAGGCTAGCAGATGGTTCGTTGGTGGCTGTAAAACGATTAAAGGAGGAGCGTACACCTGGTGGGGAGTTGCAATTTCAAACAGAAGTTGAGATGATCAGCATGGCTGTGCATCGAAATCTCCTGAGACTACGTGGGTTTTGTATGACGCCTACTGAACGACTCCTTGTTTATCCTTATATGGCAAATGGAAGTGTTGCATCATGCTTAAGAGGTAATTCTTATTAGCATTTCCACACATTTACAGATTTTTTGGTACTTACTAGGCATGCCTCTTCCACTGGCATTTCCACTCTACTTTGATTTCATTACTTTGACCAATATTTTCTTGATTCTTCAAATTTAGGGATTTTTTTTATACTTAGGCATGCCTTGTTCAATTTCTCAGTAATAATGTTTACACATTTTTTAGAACGTCCTCCATCTGAACCACCGCTTGATTGGCCAACAAGGAAGCTAATTGCATTGGGATCTGCAAGAGGACTATCTTATTTGCATGATCACTGTGACCCAAAGATCATTCATCGTGACGTAAAAGCTGCAAATATTTTGTTGGACGAGGAGTTTGAGGCTGTTGTTGGAGACTTTGGGTTGGCTAAACTTATGGATTACAAGGATACACATGTTACTACTGCTGTACGAGGCACAATTGGGCATATAGCTCCAGAGTACCTCTCTACTGGAAAATCATCGGAGAAAACGGATGTTTTTGGGTATGGAATTATGCTTCTAGAACTGATAACAGGCCAAAGGGCTTTTGATCTTGCTCGTCTTGCAAATGATGATGACGTCATGCTACTTGATTGGGTATGCATTAAAATTTCTCTGTAATTTTATTTGTTTAATCGTCCATGCAGGAATTTCTTCTAGTTATCTTGAGTTTCTGCCCGATTCTGGGTTTTACTAGAATTCTTTTTAAATAAGGTTGAATTGGTGAAGAGTTTGGAACCTTGGTTGTCCTCTGCCCCAGTATAGCTAAATCATACTGTTGTCACAATTAGGTGAACAATGATCGGTTGCATCCTCATCTTTTGTCATGCGGTACATGTGTCTTAATTTCATAGGGCTGTTTGGTGTAACTTATATGAGCTGTTTATAGCTTTTTTATTTTGAGTGTATGCCAGGCTGTTTGATACTGTTTATAGCTTAGTAGGTAGAAATTATTTAAATAAGCTTAAAAAAAGCTAATTATCTGGAAATTGGGGGGACGTGCTTTCTGCTTATGCTTTATGGGTATTAGCTTTCAGCTTTCAAAAACCACCAAACAGGCCCAATGCATGTCAGGCTCACTGGGGATCATTTACGCTTTAAGATGCCTCATTTTCTTATTTCAGGTAAAAGGACTTCTGAAGGAGAAGAAATTAGAAATGCTGGTTGATCCTGATCTGCAGAAGAATTATGTTGAGGGTGAAGTGGAGCAGCTTATCCAGGTAGCGCTGCTTTGCACGCAAGGGTCTCCAATGGATCGGCCCAAGATGTCAGAAGTGGTCAGAATGCTAGAGGGTGATGGCTTGGCGGAGAAGTGGGATGAGTGGCAAAAGGTGGAAGTTCTTCGCCAGGATGTTGAACTTGAACCTCACCCCAACTCTGATTGGATTGTTGACTCGACAGAAAATCTACATGCAGTTGAGCTATCTGGGCCGAGGTGACCCCTTTCATGGTTGAAGAAAAGAAAGAAATTATATATAACCTCTCTTTTTGGTTTTTTTGTTTCTCTTTTTCTTTTTTCTTCTTTTTAACATAATCTTTCTTTTAGCCTCCTGTAAGGGCATTGTTAATTATTCATTACATTTGTGCATAGGAATTTGTATTGTCAGGCAATTTTTGTAATCAACACTTCTAGTCTGCTCAAGAAAAAAGCAGCTATGGTTATCTATTAATTATTTGTGCTGACTTTATTTATTTACTCATTTATTTAAGAAACTTTGATCTTTTATTTTTTTTGAGGAAGATTTGTGATTTGGATGCAGAAGCAGTTCATGTTTTTTACACCCATGGCGAACCCAGGCCAACGCAGTGCTCATTCCCTCCTCTTTGTTAAATTTTCCGCAACGATACATGTATTTTACAAGGAAATGATTATTGAAAAGATCAATACTATACCACCAAAAAAATATTTTACTATAATCTTTCATGAAATCCCATCAAACACAACGTACTAAATTGGCAATTTAACGCTAACCTTTTTTGTTCCAAAGAAATTGGACATGGAATAAATCATGAAAACCTTTATTTCCAAGGTACTTGAAGCTTTTATACATCAAATGATCTTACAAAATCATATATAATGTAGCATGAACTGCCTTGTATGGCATTTACAGTACTGAGGTAGATGAACAATAATCCTCATTTCATGAACGCAAAGGTAGCCACCATAAGCAAAACACGTATGCATAATGTCTAATCACACCAACACTTTACAGATGAAAACTTCATGGAACCCAACTCACCAATGAGGTAGGCAAAGGTAGATTGGCCAAATCAAAGCTCCTGGGTTGATCAGGAATTATCTTTAATCGAATGGACAGCAGATCCGACATTTGAATCTTGTTGAGTAAACAAGTTTGGGTATGAGAAGTAAGGTTCATCATCCATTGAAGGCAACCTCTGAGGCTGGTGACGATCAATGTCATGTCCAGGAACATCACTGTTCAAAAGGGAGGAATCAAATTCCACTTTCGGGTCGTTGTATGAAGGAAGACTTGACACCTGCTGCACCAGATGATTTGCATGATCTTGATGTGGGCTGGGAGAATTTGAAATGCTACCTGTATTACCCGAAGAATTTTGATGAAAGAGATGAGGGTTATCCATTGTAGGAGACTGACAAGTGTCCATGTGAAATGGGTTTTCACTGCTATTATCAGAGATCTGGTCATTCTTTTTCTTGACGAGTTCACTAATTCTGAGCTGGGCAAGGCTAGCTGCTGAGCGGGCAGCGGTTGCCGCACGTTCAGCTGATTCAGCAGCAGTCTGAGCTGCAGCCAACACATCCTGCAAATCTACATTGGCTTCACTTTTGGTCCTCGACAAGGGCATAGGTGGCTCACTCTGTCTCACAGGAAATGTTGCAGGAAATGTTGCAGAAGACTGTGATGGTGGAGATATGAATGGCAAAAATTGTTTATCTCCCATCGAACAAACTGGAATTTTGGCCGATTCAGTAGTATTAGGTACTGATTTCTCTTGCAACACCTCGTCATGCTCCAGGTTCAGTTCGTGTAATAGACTTTCATTTACATCGGAATTTTTGGCTGATTGAAGATTGACTTCTGGGGAAGGAAGCATTTCTGGTGCTGAAGCAGTGTCATGCCCCAGGTTCAGTTCATGTAATAAACTTTCATTAACATCGGAATTTTTGGCTGATTGAAGATTGACTTCTGGGGAAGGAAGCGTTTCTGGTGCTGAAGCAGTGTCATGCCCCACGTTCAGTTCATGTAATAGACTTTCATTTACATCGGAATTTTTGGCTGATTGAAGATTGACTTCTGGGGGAGGAAGCATTTCTGGTGCTGAAGCAGTGTCTACACTTGGCCGTACTGATGCCTTAGGAACTTCAGGAAAATCTGATGTCTCAGAGCCAGCATCAGAATCTGACTGTTCATCGGGGGCTTTTTCCGAGGCAGAGTACAATGGTTCTTCATGTTTTTCCTCAGGAAGAGGCAATTTGGACCCACTGACAAACTGAGTCGGTCCATTCTGGCAGCAAGATAATACAGATTAGACATGAAAAGAAAATTGGAATCAAGGCAAGGGGGGCAAATAATATTTACCAGCAAGTCTTCATGTGGCTTCAATAATTCAGTTTCAGAGGCAACTGGATCCCAATCTAACTTGTGCTCTTCTGCAATTTCCTTCAGCAGCTTCAGTTTCACATCAGGATCAGGAGCACGAACTGACAGCAGTTCTACCAGCTGTAAATTACAAAACAAACAAAAATATCATTAAGTGGGGCTGGAATAAAAGACAGGTAATCGCACACCTAAGAATGATAAAGGGGAAAAGATCTCATTATTCAGTTACTAATATAAGATGACAATTATATATAACCTGACGGTTGACACCACATTCTGGCATAAGCTCAGTTGCAGCTGATACAAATTCCTTCCCATATTTGGCAGTAAATAGCATTTGAGCCTGAAGCAACTCCGGCAGATCTGCACATCTTGGTGCAGCAAAACACACACTAGAAATTGCTTCTTTCAAGTCTAAAGGGCATTCCCTGCACATCATGGACGGTGTAGGAAGAAAATCAAACAACAATGACTTTGACTGATTAGAAGCCAAGTATCAGTTCATATGGAGTGGAGAAATCAAGAAGCTAATTTACAGAAATCAATAACCACAATGCATTTATATAAATAAAAGACAAAACAAATGCATTTACAAACAGTAGTGCAAAGATAAAGTGGCTCCCATGTGATGGTTTAGATATATCTGCTAACCAAATTTAAGAAATGAAGAATTTTTTTATAAATAAATTTAACAAATGAAAGCTACATAGAGTCCCAAAATAGCTACAAATTTTGACAAACTTCACGACATTAGCATCAACAAATTCAGGCATATTTTACAAAAGTAACAGGAGTGATAGGAGGTTGATAAACCAAGCAAGTTAACAATGTAACCAAGTCATTAAGCTTATCAGAACTTTTATTGTTTCCTCATAAAGGATATAAAAGCAAATGTGAAATTTGTTTGTAATTCCTCACAGCTGAATAGATTGATAAACTCATCACAAACTGGTTGACTTTGAAAATATTCACTGATCCAAAAACCACAACACTAAAATAATATCCACATGATTCTTGGTGCGGCAGCAAAGTTGATGCTTTCACACAGCACAGCATTAGTTGTTCCATGGCTCTTTTCCCATTTTTTTTTTTCACTTTTGCTGAGAACTACTATTCAATACTCTTTATCTAGTGCACCTAAGGTAGATTCCCACACTGAACTTTTAAATCCCAATAAAGAGAGAATTGGTCCTAGTGTTAATGTAACGCCCCAACCCTTCACACGGCATCAATATTGTCCGCTTTGGGCCACGCCCGCACGAATTTGTTCTTCCCAGTGGGTCACCCATCCCAGAACTACTCCAGCGTATGCACGCTTAACTGGGGAGTTCTAATAGGGATTTCACCACTCGGGAAAAGGCCTCGATGCTATATAAGGGTCCAAGTTTTTACTTTTATAGCCCAGGAACTCCCTCTCCATTCCCGATGTGGGACACCGGGACCTTACAATCCACCCCCCCATAAGGCTGCACGTCCCCGTGCAGTAGCCTGCCAACTCGCAAGCTCGCCCACATGCACCGAGAGACGTCAGGGGCCCACACTCGGTACTCCGGAGAGTCGGCTCTGATACCATTTGTAACGCCCCAACCCTTCACACGGCATCGATATTGTCCGCTTTAGGCCACGCCCGCACGAATTTGTTCTTCCCAGTGGGTCACCCATCCCAGAACTGCTCCAGCGTATGCACGCTTAACTGGGGAGTTCTAATAGGGATTTCACCACTCAGAAAAAGGCCTCGATGCTATATAAGGGTCCAGATTTTTACTTTTATACCCCAGGAACTCCCTCTCCATTCCCGATGTGGGACACCGGGGCCTTACAGTTAAATCCTGTTAAAATGCAATCTCACTTGGGTTCCTTGCCATGCAAACTAACATGCAAATGTGCTTGCCAAAACAAGTTCTTACACTCTTGAATCTTTTCTCAGGGGCTATCTTCTCACAAGAGACTAGAGTGAAATCTTTCAATCTAGCTCTCTTTGTTTCTATTGCCACTTATTTAATTCCTAACTAAAGAAGCTCTCTCTCTTTGATAAATTCAGCTATCATTAAAACAAAACAAAAAAGCCATTATTGTTTTCACTCAAGCCTGGATGGGGAGCTACAAAAAGATACCATGACGCAATTCTCTTCAAACCAAATAGAGTTGTAAATCAAATTAGCTCACTTGACCTTTAGGTTGCGGTTCCTTTATCTGCATATATGTTTGCCCTACCCAGTAAAGTACCATTCATTTTGTTTCCTACGTGAAATGTATGACCCCCATTTGCTAACATGATTTGCTGAATTCCAATATCTTAAATTGAACATTTCAAAATTTTGTTTTGATTTTCACCTTACTTATTTACAAGATCCAACGCCCATATCAAAAGTCTTGGACCAAAATAATCCCATTACATGGTGCAAATTTATGCACCTGAAACCAACATTAATTCTAGTGCACATTCTTAATCAAATTTATCTAACTAGTTGCATAAAGTGACTTAATTTGTAGACTAAAAATTGAAATAAGAGTGACAATAATCTTTAAAGAACAAACAAACAAACTAAAAATACGTTTGAGTTGGGATTTTCATTCAGAAATGAACCTTTGAGTTTCAATAATGGGAAGACGGACAGTAATAAGCTCACAAAATAGCTCAATGATCTCCTGCGCAGCCATCATTTTCTCTTCCCTGATAATATGCTCCACCTGAACAGGACATTCAGAAAAACACAAAACCCAAAAAGAAGAAAACAAAACAAGTTATTACCACGCTACAGGCACAGTAACTAAAAGCCTCTTACAGCTAAAATTTCATCCTTGAAAGAAAAGTGTATGTGCTTTCTTTCAAATATCTTACACATTATATATTCATATGAGATTCATGAAAGAAAGTAGGTTTTACCCGAATACGAGCAGTAGCTTCTTGACCTGTCTCAAGGAGCTTGGCAATGTCCCGCCGCATCTGCTTCACATGAATTTCTCTTTTATTTCTCAGCAACTTTATACGCGGAATTGTCAGCTTCAGCAGGGTTTTACTGTAAGTGACAAACACAATTAGAACGGCATACATACAACAATTAGATACAGCATAACATGACCAGGTATACATATATATATTTGAGTGTAGATGAGTGATAGAAATACACATATGGTGGACAGAGACACAAGCAGCATAGATTTATAATATAGAATACAGGATACAGTATATAACAGCGTTTACAATTTATGGCCATGACATGACGCAACTCATTCAACTCTACTCATAATTTGTCAGATGATCTATGTGGTATAAATTGCATTTTTCACTCAAGATGGAGGTCATAAAAGTGTAGATATCAAAATCAATTACAGAGAAAGTGAGAACACAATGAATGAGAAACAGCATAGAGTTCGAATTCAAAAAAAAAAAAAAAAAGAAGCAAAATTGAAGCAAAATAACAATATTTGTAATTGTAGGAAAGAAAATCACCATTTGGAAGCCTTGAAACCCTTGTTGTTGAAGAAAGAATCGAGCATCGACATCGTCCCAATATGAGAAAACCCTAGAAACCAACGACAACAATGATAGTAATACAACGCGATCAACAATCAGAGACAAGATACAAAGCCAAAACACAAATTTTAAATTTTTGAGATGAGAAGGTGATGTCAAGAGTGTTTGTTTGTCTGTATATATGTATATGAACATACATACCTACCTGCTCCACCAAGGGGAAAGATGGGGACGCGTAAACTCGTCGTCACAAACTTACCAACGAAGGCTTCTCCTTCGATCTCTCTTTCTACCGATGATAATGCGTATGTATAATGTATGTATGTGCGTGTGTTGTCTTTTTTTTTATTTTCTTCTTTAATTTTTTAATTAATAATGAGATGTTTTGAAAAGAAAATTAAAAATCACTTCTTCACAAAAAAAAAAATAATAATAATAATAATTAAAAAATAATAATAATAATTTTAAAAATAATTTTTAATCATCTTCTCAAAATATTCTATTATTGGTTCTTTCTGGTAGCATCGTCACGTGATGTCCTGATAGAACTGCAATTGATGGGAAAAAAAAAAAATTCACAAATTTATATGGAGTGATTAAAAAATTTATATGGAGTGATTAAAAAATATAAAAAAATATAATAAATAATAATCGATGTAGTGACTTAGAGCAACCAATAATAATTTTTCTGTGGGCTGTGCCTTGCCGACTAGGTGGGGGAGATAGATATTAGATAGGCTGCTGGGCCCATGAAGTTATGTGAGGATGGTTCCCGCTGCCCGGGTCCTACTTGACCACTGACGTATGGTGCTGCCTGCTATTCCTTCACAAATAAGGTTCATTTTGACGATTTGAATGGTTGATTTTATCAGATTTGTTTTAAATTATTTAAATAAAAAATTAAATTATTATAAAATTATAATTATTGTTTATTTTTTGAAAGATAAATATTATAAAAAATAAACAATTCATATAAATCTGTAGAGAAGCGGTTTAGAAATACTCTTCAGATCTTGGTAGACGCTAGTGATCCTCAACTAGTCACCTAAAAAGATACAAACACTCCGGTCAGGAATGTCGGAATTAACACTCCGACGGACAAGTCAGTTCAGACACTCAGGATAGCTTGTTTACTAAGTTCACTGAAGTGATTCTTACATACCTTTCTAAATTTGTGGTTCTTGTATTTATACTTGCTTTTTGGGCCTCGGGGCCTGAGCCTACTTTTATTCCATTCCCCTTTTATTTGTTCGGAACTACTGATCTCCGGCTATTTGGCCTTCCTAATGTATTCGGCATCCTAGTCACGCAGTATGGAGCCAAATAATATCTGATTTCTAGGGTACGCACCTTCCGACTCTTCTATTTATTCGGCTCCCACAATTACCCCCCAAGCACTTTATCAACGACAGTTGATTGGAGTGCTTGGTTCCGAATTTCGAAAAGTCAGAGCCAAAATTCGGCAGTTGGCCTCATCCTCATGCGGATATCTAATCGCACCCCTTTTGGTTGTCGTGTCGACTTCCCGTCCCCTCGTACGTGTCCATTTATTGCGATTTAAAATTTTGACGTCCTTTCAAGTATGTATTTTATGACGCTCGTCGCTGGATTGCCTTTTGAATCGTCCTTGCAAATCTCTTATCCGATATTCTCTTCGTCCTTTGTAAGTTTTCTCCTTCCTTGCTTTGTAGACTCTTTCTGGTTTATTCCTTCCTTGGCATATTCTTATAAACTGTAGGGTATAGTGAAACATTTAAAAGACCTTTTCTCGTCAGATCGAATTGCTGGCTTTAAACGTCATTTCTCCATTCCTGATGATGTCCATCTGTCGTTTGTGGCAGACGGCACTCTTGATATGGAGAGGGAGGACAAAACCACGATTGTCTTTCCTCTTTTGTCAACCACAGAGGGTGGAGTCCGTTTTTCCCTTCACCCATTTCTTAGGGCTGTGCTTCGCCATTGGGGTTTAATCCCTTCTCAATTCATATTTAATCCCTTCTCAATTCAATATGAATTTCTTTAGAATTATAATGGGGGTTATAGCGCTCAACCGTCGCTTTAGAATTAACCTTGGCATTCCAGCCATCCGGCATTGCTATGCCTTGGCTAAGTCTTCTGGTCGGCACAGGCGTTTCTTCCTTAGGGCCAAGGATATCGACCATAAGCTAATTACTATGCTTTCCAGTTCTGGGAAACGAGTTGATGATGTTATGGTCATTGTCCAGGGTAACTGGGAATTTGGCGAAGGGGAGGATCACGTCAACCCTATTCCTAGATGGAAGGGCGAGTCAGGTGGCCGATTGCCTTCTCGCTTTTATTATTTGTTCATTTTTGTTGTAAAGCCTCTTCTTTGAAATGTTACGGCTTGGCTTGTGCAAGGAACGATTTGAAGAAAGTCCTGTCCTCGACTGACGACGCTGTTCTTTCGGATATCAAAGTCGCGCTCAAGTATTTCGGCCGTCGAAGTCTTCAAAAACAAGGGAGGGCGGCCCACATTCTGCTTCGTTACGAGCCGACATATACGACCTTCTTGGCGGCGGAAAATATCCCGGTTCCGGAGGGTGAAGATTCTCTTATCGCTCTTATTTTGTCCGACTTCAAAAACTTAAGGCAGGTTGGTTTTGAAGGGTCTGATTCGGAGCGAGGTGTAGCTAATATTACCGAATCAGATCAGTACGAAACCGAGTTTGACGAGGTAATGAATTCGGCCGATCCTCCATCCACTTCGGGCCGGGGGGATCTTTCTCTTGATGGCATTTTTCACTGCTTAGAGGATCTTCCTGCCGCAGGCCCCGAAGACATGGCCAGGTTAAGCCTGACAAAACTTGCCAGGAAGGCGAATGCGAAAAGGTTGTCCGACTTCAAAAACTTAAGGCAGGTTGGTTTTGAAGGGTCTGATTCGGAGCGAGATGTAGCTAATATTACCGAATCAGATCAGTACGAAACCGAGTTTGACGAGGTAATGAATTCGGCCGATCCTCCATCCACTTCGGGCCGAGGGGATCTTTCTCTTGATGGCATTTTTCACTGCTTAGAGGATCTTCCTGCCGCAGGCCCCGAAGACATGGCCAGGTTAAGCCTGACAAAACTTGCCAGGAAGGCGAATGCGAAAAGGTTCGCCGCGCGGCGAAGAGCGAAGGCCCTTCCGTCTGAAGTACCACCCGCCACCGAATCTCAACTCTCCCTGCCTGTTAGCGAATCAGAGTCCTTGCGCGTTATTGAGGTGGAGACGACAAAAAATCGCAATGCCGAATCTACTTTGATCGTGCAGGCCGGCCAAGAAGTTGAGGAAGAGGCAGAGAAACGCCCTGCCGAGTTTGAGGCCGGCTCAGAAGAACAAGGCGGCAAACGTCCTTGATTAGAGGGATCAAATGTGATCGTTCCTTTTGTCATTCAGCCGATGATAAAAAACATGCCGGTTTCTTCTGATGCTTCGGCGCTTAAAGATGCAGAAGTCGTATTCAGCTTGGCTACGTCCGTGTCATTGCCGTCTGACAAGAAGGCTTTCCGGGTGGAACCAAATCTGAATGCGACAGCACTAGCCGCCCAATCGGCACTTTTGGTACATATTCAGACCTTGCTTCACTTAATCCAAATGCTGTTGAAATTATGGTTTTAAATTCTTGTTTTGCAGACCGACAGAAGGATAGCCGATATGGGCCATCGCCATCACGACGCCGTCAAACAGATTGGTCGTTTACGAAAGAAAGTTGAGGGCCAGAGGAGAAGGGTCGAAGTCGAAGCTTTGAGGGCAAACAAGGAAGCCTCAAGGGCCGAGGCTAAGGTGGAGAGGGCTCGTAGCGCAGATCAATTGAGATCAGATGCCAAGAAGGAGGCGGACGCGAGCGAAGATGCGCTCAAATTAGCCCAGAAGGCGGTCTCCAAACTGGAGGCTGAGTTGGCTGAAATGAAGGCGGCGAAGGAAACAGCCGACTCGGAGGCTTCCAAAGTATTCGAGGCCGGGAAATATGCTGGACTTGCCGAGTATTTGAACTAAGTCCCCAAGTTTGAAAATCGGGGATTCAAACATGGCTGGCACAAAGCCCTTGCTGCTGCTAAAGTTTCATTGATTATGCCAATACCATATGAGCAAGTGGATGTTGAGCCATTGGAGTCTGATTCCGATGACTGATCTGGGCGACTGACATAGTTTTTAGGATGTCGAATGTATTTTTACAGTTTTTAATTTGGTATTTTTCATGTGTTGCTACAGTCATAGTTTTTTACTAGGCATTTTCATGCGGGCTTGTAGCTTTTTGTGTAGTAATTTGCGTATATAAAATTTCATGAGTTGTGCTTAACTTGCTAAGGAAAATGTTGTTGATGAATGATATTGCTTTCAGTTATGGTTAGATCGGCTGCTTAGCTTAGGTATTTGGCCGACCAGATTAGTAAATCTGCCCTTGCCTTAGCCAGGGCGCGAGCTTGCGAAGCCAAATGGGCCTAACTAGTGGGCTGGCTGAGGCACAGATTGATCGGCGTTTGCACTTGAAAACATAGCGGACCAGATTAGTAAATCTGCCCTTGCCTTAGCTAGGGCGAGAGCCTGGGAAGCCGAATGGGCCTAACTCGTGGGCTGGTCGGCGCTTGCGCTTGAAAACATGGCCGACCAGATTAGTAAATTTGCCCTTGCCTTAGCCAGGGCCCGAGCTTGCGAAGCCGAATGGGCCTTACTCGTGGGCTGGCTGAGGCACAGATTAATCGGCGCTTGCGCTTGAAAACATGACCGACCGGATTAGTAAATCTGCCATTGCCTTAGCCAGGGCGCGAGCTTGGGAAGCCGAATGGGCCTAACTCGTACGCTGGCTGAGGCACAGATTGATCGGCGCTTGCGCTAGAAAACACGGCCGACCAAATTAGTAAATCTGCCCTTGCCTTAGCCAGGGCGAGAGCTTGCGAAGCCGAATGGGCCTAATTCGTGGGCTGGCTGAGGTACAGATTGATCGGCACTTGTGCTTGAAAACATGGTCGACCAGATTAGTAAATCTGCCATTGCCTTAGCCAGGACGCGAGCTTGGGAAGCCGAATGGACCTAACTCGTGCGCTGGCTGAGGCACAGATTGATCGGCGCTTGCGCTTGAAAACATGGCCGACCATATTAGTAAATCTGCCCTTGCCTTAGCCAGGGCGAGAGCTTGCGAAGCCGAATGGGCCTAACTCGTGGGCTGGCTAAGGCACAGATTGATCGGCGCTTGCGCTTGAAAACATGGCCGACCAGATTAGTAAATCTGCTCTTGCCGTAGCCAGGGCGCGAGCTTGCGAAGTCGAATGGGCCTAACTCGTGGGCTGGCTGAGGCACAGATTGATTAGCGCTTGCGCTTGAAAACATGGCCGACCAGATTAGTAAATCTGTCATTGCCTTAGCCAAGGCACGAGCTTGCGAAGCCGAATGGGCCTAACTCGTGGGCTGGCTGAGGCACAGATTGATCGGCGCTTGCGCTTGAAAACATGGCCGACCAGATTAGTAAATCTGCCCTTGCCTTAGCCAGGGCGCGAGCTTGCGAAGACGAATGGGCCTAACTCGTGGGCTGGACAATTGTCATCCGTCTTTTGACGCTTCGGATTATTGGCATTGCCTCGGGAGAGCTGCATACATTGAAGGATAAATGGGGTGGGTGCATGCTAGAGGCCCTACTTATTTGCATTCAAGTAACTTGGGAGGGACGAAGATTGGTTAAATTAGACGCAGCAATAAGTCACAGTAGCGAGCCTATGCGTACCGAAAAAAGAACGTCCAAGGATCAAGAAACACAGCAGCCTCTTAGTCGTTGAAACAGATCTCCCCGAAAGGACAGGCAACAACAGGGAAATTCTCTGCGCCCGCGACCGAGAATCGAGCCCGATGCGACGCCATGACCGTTGAGTTTTGCGGTTTTTGTGAGGAATAGACCAATGACGGAGGCGGATTCTATCATTAAAGACCCAGGTGTGGCAGTCGAGTTCGCTCGACAAATTTTCCCGCCGGAAGTTCAACAATTAATGGTCGGACATCAAGATTTCGAAGTATTTCGAGACGGCATACATGGGGCCATGAAAGGACTATATACTGCTTACGAAGTCGACATGCATTTGCCGGAAGCGCGACGTGAGAGTGAGAAAAAGGATGAAAGGAATCGCAGTCTGGAGATTCGCGCAGAAAAGGCTGAGCGTGAGCTTCGAAGCTGAAAAATGTTCAAACGAGCGCGTCAGTGGCGGTTGGTCAATCTAAATTGGTCGTTGAGGAGAGAGTGACCCAACGGACCTCGAGTTATGAAAAGGGGTTTCAGGACGGCCTGAAGGTCGGGATAGAGAAGACTAACAAGACCTTGCCGAGGAGGTCTGCCGATGTGAAAATTGTGGATTCAAGCACGGTTGGATCAAGGCCCTTCAAACCGAGAAAGCTCTCGAAGCCGTGGGCATTGATTTGGCTTCGCCCCTGTACCATCGTCACTACTTACCCTATTCCGATTTCGAAATTGAGAAGAGCGACGATAAGGGTGCCGAATAAATAGACTTTGGAACGCGAGAAGAGACTTTACGCCGAACAAATAGAATTTCTTTTATTTTCAACGTTCGTGTTTCGTCTTGAAATGTTATGTGCTTAATTAAACATATTATTTCAACTTACTGGAAAGTTTTGTGTTGCGGGTGCAAATGTTTAAACATGCATTGACCGGCTTGAATTAAGAACAATTCTTAGTGAATATTTATTCGGCCAGTGAAGTGGTCCGAATGCATCTCTCACAAAGGCTCCGAATCCAGAGACTATTTTGGCCAATCGTGATATCCACGAAGGGCACTCCGAATCCGGAGTCTTAATCGGCCCTAAAGTGTCATGCACCAAAAGGGACTCCGAATCCGGAGACTTTAATTTGGCCAATCGTGATATCCACGAAGGGCGTTCCGAATCCAGAGTCTTAATCGGCCCTAAGGTATCATGCACCAAAAGGGACTCTGAATCCGGAGACTATTTTGGCCAATCGTGATATCCACGAAGGGCGCTCCGAATCCGGAGACTTAATCGGCCCTAAGGTGTTATGCACCAAAAGGGGCTCTGAATCCAGAGACTTTAATTTGGCCAATCGTGATATCCACAAAAGGCGCTCCGAATCCGGAGTCTTAATCGGCCCTAAGGTGTCATGCACCGAAAGGGGCTCCGAATCCGGAGACTTTATTTTGGCCAATCGTGATATCCACTAAGGGCGCTCCGAATCCGGAAACTTAATCGGCCCTAAGCTGTCATGCACCAAAAGGGGCTCCGAATCCGGAGACTTTAATTTGGCCAATCGTGATATCCACGAAGGGCGCTCCGAATCCGGAGTCTTAATCGGCCCTAAGGTGTCATGCATCGAAAGGGGCTCCGAATCCGGAGACTTTATTTTGGTTAATCGTGATATCCACGAAGGGCGCTCCGAATCCGGAAACTTTATTTTGGCCTTAGAAGGCTTAATTGGCCCTTAAAGGCTTGGGAGCGAGCTTGAGAAAACGAGAAGCTTTGTATTGCAACGGTGGAATACGTACAAGTATTAAGCCCACAAGTCGGGTCAATGATAGAATTTACGTAAATGTATTAAATTCCAAGGCCGTGGCAGGCTTCTTCCCGACATGTCTGAGAGCCGGTATGCCCCTGTTCCTGCGATGGATTCTATTTGATAGGGGCCGTTCCAGTTTGGACCCAATTTTCCATCGGCCGGTCTCCGGTCGGCTAGAAGTATCTTCTTTAGGACCAACTCTCCTAGCGTGTATCGACGCAACTGAACTCGCTGATTATACGACTTGGCGAGATGCTGCTGATACCGTGCCATGGATGTCAGGGCGCGGTCTCTTCGTTCTTCGATTAGAATCAGATCTAGGGTAAGCATCATGTCGTTTCGGCCCATATCAAAAACTTGCGATTTCAGAGTTGGGAGGTCGATTTCCAGGGGTAAGATTGCCTGGGTTCCAAAGCATAGAGCAAACGGCGTTTCTCCAGTGAATCTCCTCGGCGTAATACGATGAGCCCACAATACACTCGGCAATTCTTCGACCCATTTGCCTTTAACTTTTTCCAGCCTCTTTTTGATGCCGTCTAAGATGGATTTGTTAGAGGTTTCGGCTTGACCATTGCTTTGGGGGTAGGCCGGTGTAGAGAAGTAAGGCCGAATGCCATATTTGCTGCATAACTCTCGATATACGCCACAATCAAACTGGGTGCCATTGTCAGAGATGAGAGCTCTCGGAATGCTGAATCGTGTTATGATGTTTCTCCACACAAAGCGTTTAATGTCGGCATCTCGTATACGTGTTAAAGCCTTCGCTTCGACCCATTTTGTGAAGTAATCTGTCGCGACGATTAAGAATCGCTTGTTCCCTGAAACCCTCGGCAATGGTCCTACGATATCAAGTCCCCACTGAGCAAACGGCCAGGGACTGGTGATAGAGTTCAACCCTTCGACAGGCAGATGGGTTAATGGGGAAAACTTTTGACACTGTACGCATTTTTTTACATAACTCTTCACATCAGCTCTCATTATCGGCCAATAATATCCCTGTGTTATAGCTCGATAGGCCAGGGAGCGTCCGCCAGAATGGGCACCACGACTGCCCTCATGTATCTCTGTCAGAAGCTCCTCCACTTTGTCGGGGTGTACGCATTCCAAATATGGACCAGAGAGGGACTTTTTATAAAGCCCTCCTTGCGGATCCAGGTAGTATCGCAGGGTTTTATTTCGCAGCTTGTGTGCTTCTTTTTTGTCCTCTGGGAGTTGTTCAGAAGAAAAGAATGTAGCAAATGGGGTCCATCCATCTTGGTACGGATTCTATAACGTTGACATGGATTTCCTCCGAAGGGCCAATACTCGGCTCCGGGATGAAACCTACTTCGATGGTCCATTTGATCTCAGAATTGATGGCGGAGGCTAAGCACGCCAAGGCATCCGCGTGTGTGTTCTGGTCGCGTGTAATTTGGTTCAGTTCGTGATGGTCAAATTTTGCCAGCAAGGAATTGGCCGTTTTCATGTAGGCCGCCATACAGTCGTTTCTTGCCGCGTACTCCCCCTTTAGCTGACTGATTACCAATTTTGAATCACAAAACACAAGCAGACGCCGAGCGCCGAGAAGGTGCGCATTCCGCAAACCGGCTAGAAGGGCTTCGTATTCGGCTTTGTTATTTGATGCTTCGAAGCCAAGCTTGACGGCCTGCTCAATTACTGCGCCGTCTAGAGACATGATTACAACTCTGGCGCCGCTGCCCCTTTGGTTAGACGATCCATCACAGTATAATTGCCAAATATCCCCGACATAAATTCTCCAGTTCGACTTTGGTCGAACTTCAACCTTTGGTCGAACTTCGTCAAGTTTGAAGTTGGCAAGCCCGCCGGTGAATTCGACAACAAAGTCGGCCAACACCCACCCCTTGATTGCGGTTTTAGGTAAAAACTGAATGTCATATTGGCCGAGTTCAAGAGCCCATTTTGAAACACGTCCTGATGCTTCTGCACTATGTAGTACTGATCAAGGGAGATAATCTGTTAGCATCCCAATGCTATGTCCCTGGAAGTAATGCATCAGTTTTCTTGCCGCCATGACTAGGGCTAAGATGAGTTTTTCCAGCGGAAGGTAGCGTGTTTCGGCGTCAACCATTGCCTTGCTCACATAATACACTGGCCGTTGCTCCCCCTCCTCCTCTTTTAGCAGTACGGTGCTGACGGCCCTATCGGAAACTGTTAGATATAGAATGAGCGGGTCACCAGCGGCGGGTGTTGTCAAGAGAGGTACTGAGTGAAGTTAGGTCTTGAGTCCGTTGAAAGTTGTTTCGCATTCGGCGGACCATTCAAAAGCCTTACTCTGCTGTAGTGTCTGAAAGAATTGTCGGCAGCGATCTGTAGACCGGCTGATGAACCTGTTGAGTGCAGCGGCCATCTCAATCAACTTTTGGACTTCTTTTACTGAACGGGGGGAGCCGAGTTCCAAGATTGCTGTGACTTGCCTCGAGTTGGCTTCGATTCCTCGGTGATTGACGATGTAACCCAGGAATTTGCCAAAGCCGATTCCGAACGCACACTTGGAAGCGTTCAGTTTCATTCTGTATTTGCGTAAGATGCTAAATGTCTTTTCTAGATCAGCTATATGATTCTGTTCTTCTTTGGACTTGACCACCATATCGTCAATGTATACTTCCATAGTGTGGCCGAGTTGCTCTTTGAACATGGCGGTGACCAGTCTTTGGTAGGTTGCCCCTGCATTCTTCAGCCCAAAAGGCATAACTTTGTAGCAGTAGGTTCCTCTTGGGGTGAGGAATGCAGTTTTGTCCTGGTCATCTGGATGCATTGCGATTTGATGGTAGCCTCTGTAAGCATCGAGGAAGCTTATGCGTTGATGGCGTGCCGTCGCATCGACAAGCTGGTCGATTCTGGGTAGAGGAAAATAGTCTTTGGGGCAAGCTTTATTTAGATCCGTGAAATCGACGCACACTTGCCAAGTCCCATTTTTCTTCTTCACCACCACTGTATTGGAGAGTCACGTAAGGTAAGTGACTTCTCTAATTGTCCCGGCGTCAAGCAGTCTGTCTACCTCCTCAACAACGGCGGCAGTGTGCTACGCAGCTGACCGCCGACCTTTCTGAATGATCGGCTTACATTTGGGATCGACATTCAGATGGTGCTGTGAAACTGACGGGTCTATTCCCGGCATTTCGTACGGAGTCCACGCAAAGACGTCGAGGTTGTTGAGCAAGAAAGAGATCAACTGCTGCCTGTCGGCCTGATTCAGAGAAGCGCCAATCATGAAGAACTTTTCTGGGCTTCCGTCGATGTCAACTCGGTCTAAACCTTCCATGGCCTTCTCATTTGGAGGCCGCCCAACGTCATCAAGAATCTCCTGATTCAGCACCTCAATGGAGTGTACTTGCAGTTCCTTTGGCATTTTGGCGACAAGGAGATAACATGCTTGTGCCGATTTCTGGGAGCCGCGGATTTGCTCAATGCCGTGTTCTATTAGGAAACGTAGCAGTTGATGATAGGTGCTTGGGACGGCCTGCAAGGTATGCAACCACGATCGCTCCATGATGAGATTGTACGGTGATGGCAGCCTGACGACCAAGAATTCCATATCCACCGTTCTGGAACCTGCTCAAACGGGTAAGCTGATCTTTCCCAATGGGTACTCTGGATTGGCATTGAAGCCGAATAGTGGATAAGGAGCCGGAGTCAAGTCTGACTCGTTGAATCCGAGTTTGATGAAGGTTTTATAATACATAACCTCCGAAGTACTGCCCTGGTCGATAAGAAGACGGTGAACCGGTTTACGCGTAGCTTAACAACCAATGGATCGATGTGAGGAGTGTTAGCCGATCAAATCAGAGTCGTGCAAAGGTGATACTTGGCGTTTCTTAGAGCCGCTTTGCTGGCGTGAGTTGCTGTTGGGGGCCTGGATGTGATTGGATCGCATGCACGGCCGGGGCTGCTGGCAGGCTGTATATCATGTGGACAGTGTCAAGCAGAAATGCATCATTCGGAAGGGCAGGTGTTTTGATCGCACTCCTTCGGACGCATTGTTGGGGACGTTCGTCCTTTGCCAACTCCTCAAGATGATTTGTTGAGGCATAGCGGCTGTCATTTTCTTGCTGTCGGGCTCGAGATCGTTGATCATCTGCCCTCGAGGGTCGTTCAGAAGCCTGGCGCACTGTTTGTTTGGATTTTGCTATTTCCGAGGCCAGATCGCGACGAAGGCGTTCGTTCTCAGCGATGATGTTGTCCAACCTCTGTTTGGTTTGCCTAGCTTGTGCCATGGTCGTTTGTATGGTCTTTTGCGTTGGGTTTGGCGATGAGCAGAGGTCCAAGGCAAGTCTTGCTGCGATGGTTTTTGGTCCAAGCGAGTTTGCTGGAGTGAGGTCATCTCTCTGTGTGGTCTCATCAGTGGCTATCGGAGGATTTTCAGTCACACCTGCCATGGATGTATTTGAGTATTCCCACAGACGACTCCAGTTGTGGAGAAGTGGTTTGAAAATACTCTTCAGATCCTGGGAGACGCTAGTGATCCTCAGCTAGTCACCTAAAAAGATACAAACACTCCGGTCGGGGGTGCCGGAATTAGCACTCCGACTAATTTTAAAGATTTTGAATATTTATAATTTATATAATCAGTGAGATCATAGTGTTAAAATAATAAAAGCATAACATATGTTGATATAATAATTAATATATCAAAATGTGTATAGCACTACTGTCCTCTTTTAGAAGAGTAGTAACAAAAAGGGTGAGGTCTAGAGGGTGTTGCTATTAGACCTAATTATCAAATTATAATTATATAATTTTATTATATTTATTTTTAAAAAATATATTTTTATTTATAAAATTATACTAATTATTTATTTTTTAAAAATAAATATAATAAAACTTGAAAAAATAAACAATGACACGAGGTCTAATAGCAACACCCTCTAGACCTCACCCTTTTTGTTACTACTCTTCTAAAAGAGGACAGTAGTGCTATACACATTTTGATATATTAATTATTATATCAACATATGTTATGCTTTTATTATTTTAACACTATGATCTCACTGATTATATAAATTATAAATATTCAAAATCTTTAAAATTATGCTACATCATTCATTAATACATTAATTAATATATCAATTAGTACATATAATATTATTCAAAAGCACAATGCTAGAAACACAGGTCTAGCATTTCCCCTTATAAAATTGAGGTGAGAAAAGAAAATTTAAATAAAAAAAAGTTTTCAGTACTTTTTTTTTTTTTTGTAACTTCAAAAATAATCCACTTATTAAGAAACACTATTATGCTTGTTTGGTTTTAAAATTCAAGATTCACTTTTCGAGAAATTAAAATTTTATTTTTTTTATTTTTACTGAATTTTTTTAATATTTTAAACATTTTTTTTTAATTTTTAAATATACCTAACATAAACACAAGTAAAAAATAATAATATTTGTGAAATTTTTTTTAAAAAATTAACTAAATACCAAAAATATAAAAATATATATATATAATTTCAGTACATTTTTTGTATCCTTGTATATTTATTAATTTTTTTCACACATTCTTTACTTTTTAAACACATCTACCTAAGGTACATATGAAAAAACAAAAAAAATTACTTAAAATTTTAAAAATATTCACTTAAAACAAAAAAATATATAGAAAAAAATAAAAAAAGCTCAATTTTCAAAAAATTAAAACCAAACATAGTGATTTTTTTTTATTTCAAAATTTTTAAATGATTTTAACAGAAAAATGAAAATAATTGGTGTTTTCAAACGTTTTATTAATTTTGTTAATGAGCTAGTTGTGTGGGCATCGTGGGAAGCCAAGCCTGTGGAAGAAGGGAAGCTAAATCAATAAAGTCATACAAATTTCAGGTATAATATTTGTGTAATATAATGTTTATTTCTTTGATCAGCAAAAATAAATTTCATTGATGAGTATGAGTTAAGTACAATGTAGGCACATTTCAATACATCAATAAAAGAAAAAAACCAATAAATATTGCCTCAAAACTGAGGACAACCCAAGACTCCATAAGGCAGCCATCTTCCAGCTTGTGAGCAAAGAAAACTAGACCAACAATTGATAGAGAAGACCAAAAGTTCCAAGCTGGAGATGTTAGCTGTTAAATGAAGCAAGATAGTAGATATACTAACGTTGTGTTTAGTTGGGAAATTTCGAAAGGGAAAGGAAAAGATAGGTGAAATGTGAATAAAATATACTTACATTTCACCTAGTTTCACACACATTTTCTCTTTGCCTTTCCAAATCTTTTCCCAAATCTCTCAACAAAACATAGCGTAAAAGAAATGCTTTTACACTAGTGAACCTGAAGAGTCATGAGATGAAGAGCACTCTTACGTGAATAGTCCTTCAAAGTAGTCAATAAATGCTCAAGTTATTTCGGTAGAACAAAAGGCCATTGGGAATTATTCGATTTACGACTTTATTCAGTCATCATGATCTGAAAATGCACCATTGTGATTAGAAAATTTTAGTACACAAAATGAGCCAGAAACAATATTCTTTTGAGTAGAAAATTGACAATGTGATGCTACTAAAAGGTCACTCATTTTGGAGAGAGAGAGAGAGAGAGACACATGGTTTTCCCAGAAACACTGTAGCAGCAACATCAGTCCAAAAAACCTGTTGTCTGTGCATCGCTCCAAACATGTTCTCAAGGTTTTTGCCTACGTTAGTCAGAAAATGATGGTTACTTGACAACATCAAAACTTGTTCATACACTCCCCTAGGATTGATTCATTTTTTTGATGCAACTAGGATTGATTCATTTTTTTGATGCAACTAGGATTGATTCATGAAAGCTCTGATCACTGCATTTGATATTGCACTGTAACATTTGCATGTCATTTCCAAAAATTGTGGCTTCCACTTTTTATTGCTACAAGGAATAAATTAAGCACATGATTTGCTTCGTAATAATGAAGCAATTGGAGAGAGATTATTAGCTTAACACTCAAAAGATAATAAAGGAAAATGATGGGAATAAAACATTTCAATGCTATAAATAGAATAGATATTATCAGGTACCATTAATTTTTTCCTGCCAAGGCAAAAAATTTAATAGAGAGGCCAGCCGGCCAAATCATAAAAGCAAAGAGCACCAACTTGGAAAGTTAGAATTCCAACTCTCAACTCTTGGCAGGTGAGGGCTCTGTACTATAAAACGTAGTATCATTAATTGAATTGATTTTGCAATCCACAATTTGTCACTGAACAAGGGTTTATTTGGAATATGTATTAATGATTTGGTTGTGTAAACAAGGATTTGCCTAATGCAAATTCAGCTTAGCTAATCGATTGATTTGGAGTTTACCTCTGTATCAATACAGACCAGCTTTTAAAGCTTTTGCCATTTGTAAATCCATTTCTTGGATAAGCCTTCTCAACGATCATTACATTCTGTCTTATCATCTTTTTGATAGAAAAACATCCTTGAGAGTCGTTAGTTGATGAGGCATGCTTTCCTGCAAGAATAGAAAGCTATAATTGTGAAGGTTTGGAAATAATTACAAAGATGCTACATGGTTTGCAACAAAATGATTATATTATTATATTTCAATGAATAACACATACCAATTCTCTCAGAATGACCATGACGTTTCTGCACAATAATATCACGCTCTCTATACTCTACAGCCTCATTATCCTCGTGCCATTGCAGCAACTTGAAAAGCATTAGGAGCATTATAAGCACGGGAATCTACAGATGGATCAGCGTGAACAAAAATATGATGAGTGTCCAAGTCAGCAACTGTTCTCAAACTTCTAAAGAACACCAAATATGGGGTTGAAGCCATAATAGCAATCAAAAGGGTAATGATGTGTGGATCCAAGTTAACTAAAACTCATAATTTGTTCTGCACTCCATATTCAATGTCCAAAAAATAAAGCTGCAAAGCAGGATAGTTTATTCCTAAGGATGAAGTTGATTGATAAAAAGACAGGCTAGTTTCCTCTATTCCTTCTCTGTAAATCTTTATCAGTAGTAACATCAGATGAAGTGAAAGCAAAGGAGCTGTTATAGGCACGAATGTGTGAATTTTGAAAGCAAAGCACAAAAATCAAATCATCAATTATTTAGTGAGCATTTCCATACAGAGGAATTAATGCAGATATAAGCAAACAATAAGGAATGTCACAAACAAAGAAACTGTAGAAAAAGAAAGAAAACAAAATTACGTTCAAAAGCAGAGCATAATAAATACAAACAATTAAGTTGGTGACCATATACATACAGAACAATTAATGCAGAGACAAGCAAACAATGATAAATACCAGAAGAAAAAACCTTCGACTCTGCACTGTGGCAGATGAACATTTACTCAACAATATTGTGAACTTGTTCATTCTTCTCTCATGTACGAGGACATGTATATTTGAGACATCAAAAACTTTGTAAAAAATAGCTCTTCGTGTACTATCTATTAGCAACAGCAAGGATTGAACCACATGTGCAGTTTCTGATTGAAGACAGAACCTTTGCTGCAACAGCAGTTCAATCAAAAGAGTTTGATTTAACCAAAGTGACCTAAAATAATTGAAACACAATAGCACAATGGAGCACAATATGCAATGATGCATGTGCAACACAACAATCTAGTGAACAAGGCCGAACCTTCTCCCCAGTCCCCATCCAAAAGTTCACCCTGTTCCAAAGATGTCAAAAGCATTATTTCTAACAAACTATCCCATTGCAGTTTACACTGCTTCTAGACTTTTTTACATCCAAATCTTCCATTGATCTTGCGGAAAATTTTAAAATTATATGATAAAAATTACTAATCAAGCAAGACAAAACAAATGCATATAAATCTAATTTACAGAAACAAACAAAAAACATTGAAGACAAAATCTGATTCAATGATAATCTTAAATTTACGTTAAAAAAATGATAAAAGGAGCATAGAGTTCATAGGAGAATTCATATTTTTACTATGAAATATTTGGTCACCATAACATGACAGCAATGAATTGATTGAATACTGGACTTATTTAACCTTTTATGATTTAAGTCTGGTAAATCATGAAATTTCTGACTTCCCTCATTTTGGAGGGTTTTGGTAAACCAAAGGGTTAAAGGCCTCAAACAGCTTCACCAAATTAAGTTCCTTTATTATTATAAGGGTATTGAAGTATTACAGTATTGACTGATTGATGATGATACATATATTTATAAATAAATATATATATATATATATATATATGTAAGAATTTATGTATGTAATTTATGTATTATTGATAGATGAATTGTTTGATATATTGATGTATTTTATTACAAATCAGAGTGGCTCATTATATAGGAGAGGGTTTGGGTAGTAGGTGAGGAGTAGGTGAGGGTAAATTGGTGGTAGGTGTAGTAGGTGTGGTAGTAGGTGGTGGTAGGTGTAGGTAAATTCTCTGGACCCTTGTAGAAACTAACCGGAATCAATGTCGGGACAGTTTAAGAGTCTTGTCGGACCCTTAAAAAAGTCGCACCCTCAAAAGGTGTGCCCAATTTTGTCAAAAGGCGTGCCATCAAAAGGCGTGCCCAATTTTGTATTTTATTACAAATCAGAGTGGCTCATTATATAGGAGAGGGTTTGGGTAGTAGGTGAGGAGTAGGTGAGGGTAAATTGGTGGTAGGTGTAGTAGGTGTGGTAGTAGGTGGTGGTAGGTGTAGGTAAACTCTAACAATATAAAATATATAAAATAAAATAAAGAAGAAAAAAAAAGGAAGAGCAAGAAAAGGAGACTCAAGAACAGGAAAATTAGGGAAAGGGAAAAAAATAAATCGACAAATCTCTAAAAATAGATCTCTCCACCAATTTTCACCAATAACCAGAAACAATCAACAAATTTCACAAAATTTAACAAAATCATGACCAGAAATCACAAAAATCACAACAGTTCTACCATCGCAAGAAAATTAAAAAATACCAAACTCACAAAATCGAAGAGTAGTTCTTACCAAGAGAGAGGATCTTCGCTGAGAGAGAGAAGATCGTCACCAAAATCTATTGTTCTGATCTTGCCAAGAGCAAGACTGCTGCACAGGAGAGAAGAAATAGTATTTCCCTTCACCAAGAGATCGAGAAAGAAAAAGAGAAGCAGAGTGTGATAGAGCTGAGAGAGATGATAGAAAGGTAACACTACTTCAGATTTTGAGATCTTTTTCATTCCATAAAATGCCCCCACGGCAAAATATCTGCATTCTTGCAATGCACAATTAAAATGGAAATTATAGAAAACAAACGTATGAGCCATTATGTGAACATTGAACAGTAGACAGAAAATGAAAAATGAAAACAAAAAACGAACCTACAACAATTGCAAGTTAGAGAAGAAAGAAATTAGTTTGATCTTGAGATTCAGGTCAAATTCAACGTTTACGGAATATTCTCATAATAATTTTAGGGCATCAACAAAAATTTGAATTGGATTATTAGTCTGTCAAAATGCTGGTCAAATGTAGGTTCAAGAAAACCTTCAGATCTTTACAACAGTTTCCTGCTTTGTCAAATATCAAATAAATTAGAATACCCAGTAAAAAGTTATGCATGAAGAGAAGAGCATCCAGTAATTTTAAAATAAAATAAATTAATCAGTCAATAATTACCCACAAGCTATATCATCATATTAAGCAATCTTCAGAATCATTTGATATTCCTACAGAAAATAAACAACAGATTGCCATCAACATTAAAAAGTATAACTAATTCTTTAATGTGACAACACAAAAATGAACTAAAGAGAAACAGTGCGTCTATAAAGTATTTCATCATCACTCTCATCTTCGACATCCGAAACAACCTCACTCCCCGGTAGTGCAAGTTTCCCACCCATACAAAATGATGGACCTGCACTCTCAATTTCGAGGTAATCAGCTTGTAGTCTCTCTTCAAATCTCTTGTCACTGCAATTTAAAAACCAAGCCAACGAACACCTAATTCCTTTGCTTTGTAACTTCTGGTACCTGGGTTTGATCCTCGATTCCAAGCTGTAAGTAAAGTACTCTGGAAACTCCACGAGCTCATTCACTGGCCTTCCCATCTCGCTCTTGAAAAAGTAATAACTATTTTTCATTAGCCCAACTTGCACAGCAACTAACTGTGGACAATTTACAACCATCTTTCCAACATCCTCCACTGGTATGCCCCGTCCAACAAGGAACTCAACATGTTTCATGATCACATTTTGGTTAAGGCTAACTATCTGTGGCATTCGCTCAATGACTTGAGCGAACCCATCAGGATCGATCTTGAGCTTAAAATTGAAGAAATACTGTTGTGTTGACAATTTAGCTTTCAAAGGAAGTCCAATAGTTTGTGGGTATTGTGCAATAATTGAAGCAAGAGCTTCCCTCCGAATCCCAAAACTTATCAAACAATCCACATTCGGCTTAACAGTTTCTTCAAGATCATAACCAAGTATGTATGCCCTCTTCTCAAGCATCCTCGCTATGATCTTCTTTGGCAAACCCAAGGAAAGCAAGTAATCAACAAGTGGTTTGATCATCGTCCCAACTCTCATTCCCAGAAAATATGGATATTGTGTGACCATTGGTCCAATATCTCTCGGATTCACTCCAATACTAACTAGATAAGCCACTGAAGTGCTCATCGTCCCTTCAACCTTAAACCCTAATAGCTCCGGATACTTCATCAACACATATCCCATATCTTGCTTTTCAACATCAAGCCCACGGAGGAACTTAACCACCGGAACAAGCTCAACAACAACACTCGCATGCAAAACTTGAGGGTAATTCTTAACAAACTCTCCAAGCCTCGACCTTTGAATTCCAATCTTTTCTAAGTAACCCAATACAGGTATGATATTTTTACGCACACTACAACCAAGCATCAATGGGTACTCACTGATATTATCAATTGTCAACCCTATTTTCTGCAAAAACTCAACGCGTTCGCGCATTACTTCGACAGTGGAGGGCAATTCTAGGTCCTCCAATTCATCCGGGACTATGCCTATACCCTTCAAGTAATCACAAATTATGACACGAGAGACGAGCTTTTCTTTACGCCCTTGAACAACGCCCCACGTGACTGAGGGCATTTCGTATTCGGGGAATTTGGGGGATTGGGTTGAAAAAGATTGACATTTTGAAACCCTAGATTGTTGGGGAAAACAGGGGATTGGGGGTTGAGGGTTTTGGGAGGGTTTAATTGGAGCAAGTTTTGAGTTTGTGAGGAGGGTTTTTAAGGGTTGTGTTCTTCTTCTGAGCAGTGAGGTCATTTCAAGAAGGTAAAAGTGTGTGTGTGTGTATATATATGTGTGTGTGTATTGAATCAAAATGCAAATTTGTTGTTGATTGATGAAGCAAAAATTGAAAACAATGATTCTAGAATAAAGGTGTGTTTGGATTGAAGTGAAAGTGGAAATAAGCTCACCTCTGTTGGTAGTGAAAATAGCTTGTGGCCATGGCTTCAAAGACTCTTCGACTGTGTAATGTGAAGAGAGAGAGAGAGAGAGAGAGAGAGAGAGAGTCTGGTTTGAGATTTGAGAACATTTGGGCTGTGGGAAGTATAGGGCCCAACCCTAAATGGTACATTTCGATTGCACGTTTTGGGCCTTTATCCAGACCGCTCAAGGCTCGACTTTTACATCGTTTATATGTTGGGCCGAAATCCTAAAAAAATTACAAAACAAATCTCAAGATTTGAATACAAAATAAATCTTGAATTTTTTATTTCTTTAATTTAAATTTTAATGTTTTGATTTGTTTTTGATGTAGATCATTTGTCTATTTTGTTAAGTAAAATTAACAAAAAAATATATATATTTTATTCATAATAAGTATATAGAAAATGTTTAAAATATCATTTTTTATTGAGTTTAATAATTAATATTTTTTTTATCAGTTTTACCTAACAAAACTAAACAACTGGTTTAGATTGAAAGCAAATAAAAAAATTAGGGTTTAAATTGACGCAATTAAAAACTCAAAATTTATTTTATTACAACCCAAAAAAAAAATCCCATCCCTCAAATTTTAGGGTAAACTACCAATAGATCCTAATAGTTGGACTTAATTCTCATAAAGTCTTATTGAAAATAAGTCTTGGTAAAATTGTCGCTAAAAATAATTTTTTTGTGACAATTTTATATACATCACTAAAAATTGATAATTAGTGACTTTTTTTTGTCATGATTTTTATAAATTGTCGCTAAAACTTACAATTAGTAACATTTTTTTATGACAAATTTTTCTCATAGGACCTATTAGACAATAAATCCACTTATTAGAACCTACACGTAAGTACCCCTAAAAATTATTAATTGACTTCAAAATTTATTAATAAAAATGAGTCATTTCTTATGCGATTAGAAACATGAAAGGACGAAATGTAATTTATAAAATTACAAAAGTTAATTTATATTTTAAATAAATATGAGAAGATGTATGGATAATTTTCCTAAATGATAAATAGATAAACAATAAAAGAGAGGATCACAATCCTAAATGATTATACAAAACACACATCTACAGAGAGCGAGGTGTGTTATGGAATACAATTACCTGGAGTCAATACAACAAATCGCACCTTTAGCGACTATTTTTGGTGACTAAACAAATTTTAGTCGCTGAAAGTATATTTTTTGGCTACTAAAATTTATATTTGTCAGGGTTGGTGCAAGATATCTCTACTAAAATATTTTAGTCAATAAATATTACTTATTGGCGACTAAATTTAAATTTAGTCGGTAAAAACTCAAGTTTCAGGGACTAAAATTTTGATTGGTCGCTGTTAGTCTTAATTTTAGGCCCAAAAAAAATAAATTAATCAGTAATATTGGTTTTTCCTGACTAAAATTAAAATTAGTCGCCGAATAGTATTTTTGGCGACTAATATTTCGTCGCTATTCAGTAACCTTTTGGTTACAAATAAATTTAGTCGGCAGACCTATCCCTTTGTCGACAAATACAAAAATTAGTCGCTTATTATATTATATTAAAGTTTAATATTTTGATAATAATCATATGTGTTGGACTTTTCAAGAAATTTTTTTTATACTTGTTCTTAATGCATTAAAGTATTATTATGAGGGATAATAATCATATATGTTGGGACTTTTCAAGGAATTCATGTGTTGCATTTCAAAGAATTTTTTTATGCTTGTTCTTAATGCATTAAAGTGTTATTATGAGTGTAAGACTTGGGAATTGGGAGAAGTTAATAAATGCTAAGATTTTTTTTTTAAATCAAAAAATCAGAAAATTTAGATTGAGAGATTGGAGCTCCCACAAGGCTTGGGGTTAAAAACCTCCTTTTGCTTAATATATAGTATAGATATAGTATAGATATGTGTTAGACTTTTCAAGGAATTAAATGTCTTTTTTTATTATTATATTATATTAAAGTTTAATATTTTGATAATAATCATATGTGTTGGACTTTTCAAGAATTTTTTTTTATGCTTATTCTTAATGCATTAAAGTGTTATTATGAGAGATAATAATCATATGTGTTGGGACTTTTAAAAAAAAAAATTATACTTGTTCTTAATGCATTAAAGTATTATTATGAGGGTAAGACTTGAAAGTTGGGAGAAATTAATAAATAATAAAAAAAAATTTTAAATCAAAAAATTAAAAAATTTAAATTGAAAGATTGAAACTCCCACAAAACTTAGAGTTAAAAACTTTTTTTTCCTTAATATATAGTATAGATAATTGCCTTCGCAATTGGGCAAGAATAGTGAACTCAATGGCCACCAAATTCTTTAGTAAAAGCTGCACCCTGGGAGGTCAATGAGATTTGGACAGAAGTTGATATTAAAGTTCAGGTGAAACACTTGTGAGCTCTTTAACTTTTTTTATTTTTATTTTTTTTATTGAAAATGATGAATTGAAATTCCCACTAATACAAAAAAAAATTGTTGGAAAAAAAAAAAAGAGAAAAAAGTTATACATTTGAAGTTGATTCGTAAAAAAACTACCCATCTTAATACCCAGTCTTGACAATTTTTTTAAATTTTCTTAGCAACGTCTTGGCTCTTGAACTTTGTGGTCTTTTGTAAGGCCTAGTTTTGTTGGGTTATTAGTTGATGCTTCTTGGAGTTTGAGGTCTCAAAACATTGTTGCTTGTTTAGGATTTTGTATTGAGTTTACTTGTACATAATATATATTTTTTCTCAACAATAATGAAGTCTTAGAAGGAAAAAAAAATTAGAAATGAACCTAGAATTTGAATTAACAGACAAAAATCAACAGCTACTTTAAATGTAGACCATTGATGTAAAATTCATGGTAATTTTCTGATTATAGACTTTTAATTCTTTTTTTATAATGAAATGCTTATTCAACCACCGCCCCCCCCCCCCCCAGCTGTAAAAAAAAAAAAAAAAAAAAAAAGGAAGGAAATTAACAGCAGTATGAAATATGTTCTCAATTTCTTTTTTCTATTTTGTTTTAAAATGTGCACAATTATTAGATTATGTATTAAAATTAGAGAAAAATGTGATAAATCCAATCTAAGGAGGGTTAAGGTATTTAGTATAGTGGATATTTTTTGTTAGTGAGAAATCCACCATTTGTAAAATAATTTGGTAAGAAGTCATTTTGTTATTTTGGAAGGACATTTTGTTTCTAATTTTACCTTTTAATTTAACTATTGAATTTTTATCTATTGACTTTTTTTTAACTATCTGTTCAAATTTATATCTATATGTTCAAATTATTTTCAATCTATTCAAATTTTTTGACTATCTGTTGAAATTTTCCCCCTATTTGTTCAATTTTTTGATTATCTATTCAATTTATTCTCATACATAGAGAGAGAGGGGGGGAAAGAGATGTCCTACATTTTTATCTGTTCAAATTCTCAACAATGGCCATCTGTTCAATTTTTTAATTAGTGTTTAACTAAAATCATGGCTATTTGTTCTCAACAATGGCTAAAAAAATATGAACAACTACAACTACAACAACAAAAAAAAAAAAAAACACATGAAACAGATCTAGAGAGAGACTATATTTGTTCAACACAAGTGTGTGTATATATGTATTCAAAATCAATTCCGTAATCACCAAGTTAGAGGAGGAGAGAGTGCATCTCCAAATCTGCTTCTCTAAACCGGTGAAAAGGGGCTTGAAAGTACTTTGTCTGCCTAATCTTCTTAATGTCCATATTTCCAATCTTGCCAAAAACACGCCTTGGATCTCTACCTGTTTGTTCAAAAGCTTGGCTAGAGATATATACAGCACAAATTGTTGTTATAATAAAGAATAGTTCATGAAATCAACCAGAAATCAACATAACAAAACACACAATCATCTTCTAGGTACCCAAATTGAAGGCGGGTTTTATTCAACTATTTTCCAAGAGATTAGAAGCTTCATCATTTCAATAACTTCGTCTAATTTGACAACTAGTTTTTTTCCTTAGAAACAATCCACATAATCGAGACCAGTATGGTGAATCCATCGTATCATATCTAGGTATTAATTGGCTAGCACTTCTTTAATTCTCCATAAATTAACAATTTCTCAAATAATTCTAACAGTTATACAAGAAATTAACATCTCAATAACTATAGAAAGAATGAGAAGTATATTTGTGCATAGGTCGTACCGATTGACGTTTGGAATGAGGGAGCGTCGAGCAGTGTTGATCTTGGACAAGGCATCGCGACAAACAAGTCGAATGAAAGCCTCATTGACATCGGTGTGAGATTGGGAATCGAGGAAACTAATGAGGCGGAGAGTAAGAACTTGGATGGAAGTGAAATCTCGCTTCTGGAGAGCAAGATCAGCTCCGAAGAGAAGAGAATAGAGTCTCTTCATGTTCGTATCTACTTCTTTTCGCCAACAGACCTTTGATTCTTCTTTCATTTTCTTTGATTTTGAAGACGATCACTACAAAAAATGAAGATTTTAGATACCAAAATTTAGGAACAAAATTATTTTTAGAGACCAAATATTTTTGTTGCGAAAAGTGTCATTATTATATTTTTAACAACGAAAATTGGATATTAGTGATGAATTATTATCTTTTTGAGACCAAATTATTTTGTCCCTAAAAGTATATTATTAGTGACATTTTCAAAATTTTGTCGCTAAAAACCTTATTTTTGATTTTTCAGGACGACCTTTTAGCGATTATCTGCACGATGATAGAAATTGGCCCATAAATGTCTTTTGCAACAAAATTTTCACTTTTAAAGATCAAAATAGTTGGTCTCTAAAACTCTTGTATGCTGTAATGGATGATAGCGGTGGTTCTAGATCAGCAGTAAATCTGGAAAGGAGGAGAGAGAGAGAGAGAGTAGAGATCCACTGCGGTCATCATTGCCAGTGGAGCTATCAAATCTTCAATGAAACGGCAATTGAATCATTGTTTGTTAGTGATGATGATCAATTAGAGAGAAAGAAACCTCGAGGATTGATAACGAAGACGATGTCATGGCAGCAAAAGGCAGAGCCACCGTTGCGAGAAACATTGGGATCGGAGATGTTAGGAGCCATGGGCTGCTCTCCACCCTGAAAAACGAACTATGGTTATGGTGGAAAGCGGTGGTTGTGGTGGTGATGGAGAAAGAAATGAGCAGTGAAGTGATCATAGGTTTAGAGAGAGAGAGAGAGGGGGGGAAAGGGATTAGAAACCGTAGGTTTTGAAGGATAGGTATATATATATATATATATGGATAGTGTAGTCATTTTGCCAAAACTTGTCTTTATGGACAAAATATTTTAATATGTGGACTTTTAGTCAAACAAAATTTAAATTTGAATTTATGAATCGAATGCCCTAAAATTATTATATTTTAGATTTTTAATAATTCAATAATTTTGAGTATTTTAAAATAAAAGGACAAATATCTAGAGAGAGAGAGAGAGAGAGAGAGAGAGAGAGAGTTGATTCTCTACCATTAACATGGGAGCGCAGCAGATACACCGTACAGACAACACAATTCACAAAGGCATTGAAGAAGCAACTGAACAGAACAAAACAAATAAAACAAAACAAAACAAAAGGTTCATTTAATTGGAAGTCTGACCTTCACGTTTATGGCAGGTGTTCTTCAATGGACCCGCCTGGCTATATAGAAAAACTTTGTGGTGCGAGAAAAGTTATCAAAAATTTAATTAAAATTTAAAATTTACAATGGAGATTTTAAATTTCTGTTGCAGAGTCGCATTATAAATTTTTTTTCTAAAATAGTAGCACTAGACAACAAAAAAACACATGAATTCCTCTCAATTCTAAAATTGCAATAAAAGATTTCTATTATATTATTTAAAAGTTTGTAATTATTCTTTCTAAATTTAAAATAATAATAAATTTTTATGATTATTTCACAATTATATAAGTCACATGCGACTTTTTCTTGTGATCTCCATCATTTCTCATATATGTATCCTCTCATTAATAACTCCTTTTTTTAACTTAAATTAACTTCATTTTTATATTGATGATACATATGTACAATAATTCTAAAAAAGAAAATTTTAATTCTAAATTCTACATTCATTTATTATTGCATACATAAATATGAACCATTATCATGTTCTATTGTGTACATATTGAAATAAATTCATGCACATATTGTTACTTGAATAGTCTTTACATACATAAATAATTTTTTATCTGTTTTTTTTTTGTCATTAGTTACAAAAATAGTAGGCTCCACATTATACATATTACTTGACATCTTATAATAAAAATATCAAATAAAAAATTTATTTATGTAAAAGTTATTCGGTGCCCATTGGACACCATGCGACTCCTGCTACATATCAATTATCAATTTCAATTCCCCAATCCCCAACATAAAGTAGTAAACCCTATTATCCTATTATCTCCACCAATCACAATCTCTCTAAATCTCTCAATGAAATTTCAGTAAGTTTCCAAATTCAGAATTTAGGCCTAGATTTGTGTCTAGAATTTGAGTGTGAGGTGGAGATTTGTGCCTAGAACGTTCTCCGTGTAAAATGAGTTTATATTACATACTGATAGAGTAAAATTCGTTTGGCGACTTGAAGTTTTAGCTAAAAAATTATTATAAGTTATCACATCATTCTTTTTATTTTTTTATATATCTTTTTATAAAAAATCAAAAAAATTATTAAAATAACTTATTTCCAAACCAAACCTAATTATTTGGATGACTCACCAAAACATGTGAAACCTTGGGAAAGTTGCCGTGAATCTTGTGAAGTGCATCAATTTACATTCTACATTTAAAACTAAAACCAACTCACTCCTTTTTTATCTCATATATATGTATATATATTGTTTGCCTTATGCCATTGTCTATCATCACATTCCCTCTCAAACTCTCCTCTTTCAATTCCTTTGAATATCTTCTATATCTTCTACTTCTAACGTAGTAACATCTCTTCATAGTTTCTCCCACTTCTTGTGTGTTTGCTTCAACAGCTAACACATACAATAAAGATTATTTAAGAAATATGAAGAACATTCTCTTACTTGGAGTTCACACATTGTTCACCATCGCATTCCTCATCATAGTTGCTCCAAGCTACTCTTCTCATCGTCGTAAGCACATCCTTAATTTTTCATCATCACCAATAACTTAATTTGTACACATTATTGGATACTCAAAGTTTAATTTTTATTTATTTTTTTGGGATCATCAATGACTTATGTTTGTGCTTTTTCCTTGGACATTTCTGGCACCTATAATGGAGATCAAGAAAGCCATATGTACCCGGAGGTTTGTTTCCAAAAGTGACCATGTTGTCATTGTTTTAATGCTTTACAAAACCAACTATATACCGCGACATTCAAAATATTTTATGAAAAACAGTCTTTTTTAGTTATTCTTATATGTTTTCTATGTTGTAATATCTTAGAATGTAGCAAAGGAAGAGGTTGGGATGGAGCTAAACCCAACTGGTTCGAGCCTGCCAGACTGTTCCCACGCATGCGAATCGTGCTTTCCATGCAAGAGGGTGATCGTGGGATTCAAGTGCGCAACTGAGTCATGCCCAGTTGTTTACAAGTGCTTCTGCAATGGAAAATACTACCATGTACCTTCCAATTGAAGCGAAACGCCTCGATCTTGTAGGCCTAACCAACTAGCTAGCTAGCAGTGCTGGTGGTTTTCGAATTTCTGATAATGTAGTCGCTGATCATTTATTAGTCTGAGCTTTCCTTTGTGGCCAAAACCTTCCGTTTTGTGCATAAGAAGGGTGGAAATTTAGGAGAACAAGTGGGGAGAAGGATGATGAGAAGTTCAGTTAGTAGGAGGATAAAATGAAAGTGCGCTTTTTTTTATAAAAAAAAAAAAATCTCTGAAAATGTTTGGCATCATAGTTTGTGTTTAATTTCTATCTCGTGTGTGCATTATTATTATTATTATTTTTTTCAGAGATATATATCTTGTGTATGTACTACGCTCTTGAACAAATTACTGTGTGTTTTTGCTTGAATGCTTGAAAAAAGTCAAGATATTTGATTAGGGATGGCAACGGATAGGGTATGGGTCAAAAAAACCCTTACCCTACCCCACCTCTCCATTTTCACCGCTTGCCTCACTTCCAACCCGACCCTCATGAAACCAACCCCACCACCACCTAAACCCACAAATATAACTCCCACCCCAATCCTACCCTACCCTATCCGCAACACAATAAAAAATTTAATAATAATATTAAAATTTAATAATTGAAACTAGAAAATACTATTATAATTAAAAATATATATATTCTATTGTACATATATTAAAATTATATCATATATAATATAATAGAAACTCAATAATACATTGTATAGATATTTTATATATATATATATTATATAAAAATTCAACAATATATTACACACATATTACATATATTGTAATATTATTATATATTTATTATTATATTTGCGAGTTGGGTAAGGTTCGAGTAAAAAAAATATTATGTCCCACTCTTGACAAAAAATCAATTGAATTTTTAAAAAATTTATTCAAATCCGATCCTGCCCAATTCAACTAACTCGAAAGATCGGGGTATTTTGCCATTCGTATGCTTGATTTACTACCATCCAAAATAATAATGATAATAATAATAATAAAAAATTTCTATCTTGTGAGAAATTGCCACCTAAAATTAGCAAAGGTCGTTAAACATCAGCAATAAGCATTTCTAAGAATTTTTTTAAATACCAGCATTTCCTAGAATTTTTTTGCAAACACCAAAAAAAAAGACAAAAAAAGGGGGGAATAATTTCCCCAACATTTTTAGGATTTTTCACCGTATTTTCAAGGTATATGAACACCAAAATTCCTTAATTGGATGGAAATGTGCCATTTGTTGGTGTGTGCTACACACATATATAAAGATTTTTTTGAAACCTCAAGTTACTAGCTTTGAAGAATTGAGACATTCCATCATAAAACAATAAACCGGCTTTAAGTGATGAATTAAGTGTTAATCACATATGATATAAAGTCAAAAAATGCTACCAACACCACTTATAAACTCTCAATGTATTTCAAATGAGAGTTATATGGTTGAGATTGAATTTGTATAATATAAGATACATATATAAAATAAATTTAAACTATAAAATAATAATACTAAATAATTTTTGAATAGTGAAATTCATGCAACCATATTTCCAAAAGCACATAATGACGAGGGGTTGGGCAGAGTGCGCATATCGAATTACTATATATAACATTTAATTGACTACAATTACCAGGTGGATCCGTGGCGCAATGGTAGCGCGTCTGACTCCAGATCAGAAGGTTGCGTGTTCGATTCACGTCGGGTTCAATACCCAACCTTTTTTGCTTTGCTTCTTCCAATTGAATTTAAATATTTTGTGAATCTTTTCATTTGAAAACACTTTTCTTTTCTTTTTTTTGGGGGTAATAAAAGAATATCATGTATATTTACTCTAAGGGCATGTTTGATTTGGTGAATTGGAACATGAGATTGAGATTATTAATTCATGAGCCCAATTATCCTATGTTTATTTTAACATTTTGATTTAAAATTATTAATCCAATAGATAATTAATCTAACAAATTTGTAGGATTATTAGTAATTTTGATTTAAAATTATTAATCCAATAGATAATTAATCTAACAAATTTGTAGGATTATTAGTAATGGGGTAGGGGTGAGATTATTAATCCAATAGATATTAATCCAATTGGATAGTGAATACCACACTAATTTAATAAGATTATTAATATTTCACTATTAATTTTGTGAATCAAACATGACCTAAGTCTCTAACAATTACATTTACAAAAATAAATAAATAACAATTAACATTTGTGAATAAAAATAATTTGTGGGACATTATTTTGTTTTCGAAAGACTCAAAAAGATTTATTTTTTAATACATGAGGTCATAACTACAGCAAGCCTAGAACCTTTAACTCCATAATAACATATAACGATTTCAACAAATTAAATTAGTCCAAGTAAATTAAAAATTTAAAAATTACAATTAATATAAGTGATTTGGTTGTGGGTTTGTGTTGAATCAATCCAAACTTGAATAAGTTGTACCTTTACATCATGTTTGTTCACTAAAAATTTACGAACATAAAATATTTGATTGAAAGTAAAATGATCAGTTATTTGTTTTGTTTATAATTCCAAAATTTTTGTAAAATCAAGTACAATAATGGAGAAAATTAATACAAAACATCCTATTCTTTTAAAGATTAAAATACCTCTATCAAAGTGGAAAGATTTATTATGTATTCGATCATGTATAATGATTAAATAATAATCATACAAGAGAGATTCAAACTAATTTATAATTTTCTGTGAGTTTCTCTCTGCTAAAATAAATGGGATTATTATCAAATATACAATATAATATGATCACTTATGGGGTAATTCTATTTTCATATGCTAATTCTCTTCGGTACACATACTTAATGAATACTTTCTCAATACATACATTATAAAAATATAAATTCTAAATACATATCTCTATATTCTAATATTACCCTCATTTTCAATTTTAAAACCCTAAGGCTATGTTTGGTTTTAATTTTTGAATCAATTTTTTGAAATTTTTATGAGAAAAATATAAATTAGTTTGACAAAAATAAATACCAACAAATATTTTTTAATTTTTAAATTTGTTTGCCCCTAAAAAGATGAAACCATATTGAAATAAGAAGTCTTTTTATTTATTTTTGAAAACATATTCTAAAACTATACCAAAGATAATCTTTTTTTTTTATTTTTTTCCATTCATCCCCACTCATCTTTTCCTATTGTTGCTGTCACTTTCAACCCTCCATCGCCGCCACCATCATCGCTACTTCTAGCACATCCCCCTTCATTCTAGACCTCCACAATCAATAAAGAGTGATTCGTGGTGAGAGACTTGTGAGAGTGTATGATTCATGGCAAAAAGTGATTGCAGCGGATAAGAAAAGAGACGAGGAGAGGAGATGGCGGATGAGAGAGGTGGCGCTAGTGATAGAGAATGATTGTAGCGTTTTAGAAATAGGGTTTGATTAGAAGAATATGATGGTATTTTTATTCTAGGACAAAATTGTATTAATGAAAATTTTCATTAAGTGTGTGAACTGAGTAGAATTAGTGTGTGGAAATAGAATTACCCTCACCCATTGGGCTAGGCATAAGGTTTTCCAAACCACCCAACCTCGCTCAATTCAAACCGATCCGCATACAAATTGACGGTTTCGTAGACACCATGTGAACAGATGCAGTTTGGAATATGACATAACTGCTGGTTGTGGGCGGGGGTTGCGGGTTTAACCCGCATCGGCAATAACCCGCCCACACTTAGATTTTTTTATTTTTTATTTTTTATAATAAAAACCTGAACTATTAATTTCATTCATCATATCCTAAATATTTTTGGCCAACACACCAAACCTTAATTTCATGATTAAAAAAAAATGTTGTAGAGAATATTGTTTGAGAACATTGTTTTTGTTTTTGTTTGCTCTGTGAATATTGTAGGAAATTGAATCTACTTCTTCATGGAGGGGAAATTGAATCTATTAAAAAATTTCGAAATTGAAATCAATCTTATATTATATTGAATCTATAAATTGAAAAAAATATAATCCGCAAACTGTTCGTAACCACCCGTACATTTGTGAACCCTATCCGCACAAACCACAATCCGCATTGCAAGCAGTTGCTGGTTGAATTTTTTCCCAAAATACATACATGCAAGCGGGTCCAAACCGATCCATAAACTGTCCAAAACTGAACTGCGAACACCCCTACTCACCCATGTGATCACGCATACAATTAAATGAAAGATTTGTCCCTCATTAATTTTAAGGTCTTGGGTTTAATTAAGAGGTGTATAAATTAACTCAAACATACAGTTATAAGTTAACATCTTACCCTTTTAATTATCAAATGAAAATTTTAATTATAATTGGCACAACTCACATAAGTTTTGTTTTTTTTAATTTTTATAATCAGATGTTAATAAAATGTTGACAATCAAACAAATCAAAAGATCAGAAGTTAAAATGTAGAAAATTTTTGTTGAGGTAAAAAAACAAAGGTATTTTCAAAAATAAATTGTCATTTGTATCACAACTTTTATAATTATAACTTTTAAAATTTTTAATTTAAAAAAAATTCAAATAATCAATCGTAACGTCCGTAAAATTTATAATTAGGACAAAAAAAAACGTTAGTTCTTTTGGTTATACATATTTAAAATTTTAAATAAAATCAAAAATTCTATGACACACCTTTAGTTATAACTCAGTATGTTCTTAATTATGACTCATTACGATATTAGTTATGACATTATTTTGATTATAATCGAAGAATTCATTGTTATACCTTATATGATGTTTAATTATAAACTCTCTTTTTTTATATTTTAATTATGACTTTCATAATATTAAATTATGCCATATGTAATAATCAAACTCACAAATAATATAACTTAACATTACCCAATAAATATAATATATATCCATATGAAACTTAAGAAAACATTATTGGGGGAATTATACATAAGTGGGAGCAACGAAAAAGCGAATTCTCACCACTATGTGTAATTCTCCCTATATTATTTGATAGGTAATGTTATATGCAAATTATGATATTTGTGGATTTAAATACCATAAATATTAGAACTCAATTATATAGAAGTCATAACTAAAAAAATAATTTATAACCAAAAGTAATGCTACATTCGCCGAATTTTAGTTTTCCCGAATTGCTAGAATTTATGCATGCCAATCGTCTGGTCGGTCATCTGACATGTCGTTCGCCGATCATTCAGCAACAAGGGTGACAATCGCGGTTGATAAAGGTGACGATTGCGGTTGACAAGGGTTGCATCGCTCGTCTGGGCAGTTAATCGACATGTTCAAATTCGAGCGATTCGTGCAAACTCAAATTCGATGGATGAATTATTTTTGTTATAAGCCAAGCTT